CTGACAGAGCTCCCAGGATCCTGGAGCCTGGATGCCAGTCCCATCGTAACATCAAAACTGGCCTCCTTAAGGTCATCAACCTTAAGGTCATCAAGGCTACTTCCTCATTGCCAAATACAGGGAACATTTTCCTGTATGTCCTTTGACTTCTCAGCAACATCTAATCGTGTTACTTGCCCTTTTCTGTAAATTTCTCTCTCCCTTGGATTTGATGCCACTTCGTCCTCTTGGTTTAATGCTGCTGGTCTGGATGCTCCTTTTCAGCCTCCCGTGGGTGGCACTCAGGGACTCTTCTGGGTCTCCTGCTTTTCTTATGTCACACACTCTCACTGAGCAGCGACCAGCACGATTCTCCGCCCTGCTCAAGCCTTCGGATGACTGCAGCCCGGCTGCCTTCCGACCACAACCTCATGGAGGCCCCAGACAGAACTGGCCGAATAAGTCTCTTCCAAATTTCTGACTCATGAAATAATAAATGATTTTTATTGCTTTAAGCCACTTAGTTTAGGAATACTTTTTTACATGGAAATAGATAATTAATACAGTCTTTTTTGAATGTGTCAAATATTTATTAACTCAGTGAAGTTACCCGCAGGATGAGAAAGGTCATTTATATACACTATGTATAGTCAGTGGAGAATAGAAGGTTAGAGAAAGTAGCAAAGCTAGACACAAAAATGGTTCATGCCCTAAAGTATGTCACCAAAGACAAATTGGACTTCATAAAAACTTAACAATTTTTGTGCATCAAAAGGCACTACCTTAGAGTAAAAAGGCAATCCACAGAATGGGGGAAAATATTTGCAAACCCCTGATAAGGGGTTAATATCCAGAATATATAGAGGACTTCTAAAACTGAACAACATAAAACAGACAAACAGTCCATTCAAGACTGGGCAAAGGACTTGACTAGACATTTTTCAAAAACAACAACACACACACACACATATATATGGCCAATAATCACATGAAAAGATGTCCAACATCACTAATCATTAGGGAACTGCAAATCAAAACTAAATTAAATACTACCTCATGCTCATTAGGATGGTAACTATTAAAGAAAGAAAGAAAGAAAGAAATGTGATGGCGAGGATGGGGAGAAATTGGAACCCTCATGCACTGTTGGTGGGAATATAAAATGGTACAAACAGTGTGGAACACAGTATGGTAGGTCTTCAAAGTATTAAAAATAGAATTACCATATGATCCAGCAATTCCACTTCTGCATAGATACCCAAAATAATTGAAAGCAGGGTTTCAAAGAGATATTTGTACACCCATGTTTATAGCAGAATTATTCACCACAGTTAAAAAGTGAGAGCAGTCCAGGTATCCATTCATGAATGGATAAGCCAAATATGAAATATTCGTGTATATATATATCCATTGTGTGTGTGTGTGTGTGTGTGTGTGTGTGTGTGTAGTATTCAGCCTTAAAAAGGAGGGAAATTTTGCAATATGCTACAACATGGATGAACCTTGAAGACATTATGATAAGTGAAATAAGCCAGTCACAAAAAGACAAATGTTGTATAATCTCACTTATATAAAATAGAGTAGTCAAAATCATGAAGACGGAAAGTATAATGAATGGTGGCTGCCAGGGGCTGAGGGGAGGGGAGAGGGAGGAGTTAGCCTTTAATGGGTAGAGTTCCAGTTGTACAGGATGAAGAGAGTTATGGGAATGCCCGGTGGTGATGCTTGCTCAGCACTGTGAATATATTTGATACCACTGAACTGCGCACTCAAAAATTATTCAGATGGTAAATTTTATGTTATGTGCATCTTACTACAATAAAAAAAGGAGAAAGAGAAACAAACAGAAAAAAGGTTAATGCCATACAGGTCAATAAAGCCATGACCTTTGGGGTTATCGTGCCTAAAAGGACAGAAATTGTTTGTAACTAGTCTTCTGCGAGGGAACATGTGGCACTGAATCTAGGTCCTAATGGACAGCAAATAGTGAGTCACTTCCCTGGAGGGCTGGCGACCCTAGGCAAACTTGTACCGGACCATTCTTCAGTGAGACTTTGAACACCTAAGTCATCGCGTGCTTCACTAATCAATACTGTTCTAGACAAGACACCAGTGAAAGCGTGTCGTTTTATGAAACACTAACAGTAATTCGTAAACTTGATTCATTTGCTTACTTATTGATTCGACAAATATTTAGTAAGCACTTACTATGTGGCCAGCCCTGTTCTAGTTGTTGAAAGTACATCAGGGAGAGAGTGAGAAAGAGAGAGAGAGGGAGAGAGAGAGAGAGAGAGAAAGCTTCCGCTGTTGTGGAACTTAAAGTCTGCTATGAATTCATGTTCAGTATAAAAGGACGGACACTGTCATATCCAAGTGACAAATTATTATAGAAATAACAGCTTTTGTTCTTTTTGAAGAAGTATGTTATAATTATTAAAAGATAAGTTAGAATGACCTGGATGTCATGGTACATGAATATAGTTAGAAATGGTTAAAAATTGGAAACAAGAACAGACAGGAAGTCTTAGGAAAGTGGAAGTCTTAGCGAATTCCTTTCCATTTAATCTCCACGTTGCCATTGCCATCCAGTTGTCCACCAGCTGCAGCAGGGGGGTGACTATGGATTTAACGCCTCAGGTTGAAAGAGGCTGACCATGTTTAACTTCACAGACGTCCATTACGCGTCTCTATGAGAGAGAGTCAGGCAAGTGGAGAACCAGGACAGGTCAACAATTTGCAAGCAAGAACTCAGTCAAGAGGCCCCTCTGTGAAGCCCTTTTGTCAGAATCTTTCATCCTTAGAATGTGCAGGATAACACAGTGCAGGGGACACTGTGTGTCACACAGCCCTCCTCTGAGGACCAGTGCACCTCTCCCGCAGCTGCTGAGGAGTCCCAGCCATGACCCTCCCAGGACAAAGACTGGCTGATGCAGAGACACAAACACAGACACTGGATTCAGGCTCAAGTGTAATCATCGTGAAAGAGAAGAAGGATGAACTGGAGAATGGACACATAGATACCCTCAGTGAAATATGTAATATTTAATACCTTAAAAAAAATTTTAAAAGCCCTGGCCAGTTTGGCTCAGCAGTTAGAGTGTCGGCCCGTGGACCAGAGTCCCAAGTTCAGTTCCCACTAAAGGCATGTGCCTCGGTTGGGGTCATGTGGGTGGCAACCAGTCGATGTATCTCTCTCACATTGATGTTTCTCTCTCTCTCTTCCTCCTTCTCTCCCTCCCACTCTATCTGAAGATAAATGACAAAATGTCCTCGGGTGAGGATAAAAAAAAATTTTTTTAAATAAATAAACAATAAATAAAAAGATCTGAAGCGAATATGGTATGATGTTAAATTTATAAAGCCAGGTGTTAATACATAAACATTCTTTTATTCTCTATGCTTGCCTGTATGTTTGAAATATATCATGATTTAAAAGGACCAATAAATATGGGGAATAAGTGGGTATCTCTGTGCTCATCATACTCCTTTTCCTGTTTCTAGGTGGGGCACAGGTCAGCGAAACTGTGTTTATGGAACTCCCCTGTGTGCCAGGCGCTGTGCTGAGGGCTTTGCATACCTTGAAACATGAATCAACTTTCATGCTGGGCAGAACTTCAGTCTTTTTCAAGGACCTTTCTATAGGTGACACATTAGTACCAGGTTCCTTGCATTCACAGTCAGATACATCATTAGATTTCATTCCAATATCAGACTTGTCACAACTTAAACCTGTTTCTTCAAGGTGGTGTTGGCATCGAGCCCCGCAGAATCTTTGGGGCCCTCCGGGGAATTCAGTGCTCCCCTTCTCAAGCTTACCTGAGCTGCCCAAGATGCACAGGGTCTGCCCGCTCTCCACGTACAGGGAGACGTCTTTGAGGACCTGCCTGGTCCACCGCTGCCGACAAGACGCCATGTCCCACCAGGGCCCGGCGCGATGGCTTGAAAGGAAACCCAAGAGGACAGTGGCAGACTGGGGTCTTGGGAAGGCCCCCCTTGTCCCCCAGCACTAATGCCAGCTCTGCCCCACCCCAGTTGTCTCTGGACAAGTTCCTAAGTGTGCTTTGGCCTCTGTGTCCTCTGTGGAGCCTGGCAGACAGCGACCGAAGATCACCTGCGTGCCAGCTCTCTGCGGCTGGGAGGCAGCAAACAGGACACTGCTTATCCTTCGGGTGATCCTGCATTTCTTCACCAGGCTTCACTGCACCTCGTGTTGTCAGCGCCCCCAGTCCCCAAACCCTCTCCATCCACACCGAACAGCTCAGCTCGCACACAAGGGGGACACATGGGAAGGGACAAGGGGCACTGGGGCATGAGGCAGAGCACAGCCACGGGCAGGAGGAGGGGCCGTGCACCGCTGTTCCTCGTCTATCTCTGGCAGCCCGTTCCTCTCCTCTCTCCACTCCATCCACTAAAGAGGGAGCCCGAGCCCGAACACGTGCCCCCGTGCGCCAGAAGCCAGCAGAGTGGTGAGCAGCGCGACATCTGGGCCATGCCCGCCTTACCTGACGCTGTAGGAGGCGTGGAGGATGCCCAGGCTGTGCCGAGGTTTTGCCGAGGCTGCAGGGACCTCCTGTGCCGAGCACAGAGAGCCTTGGTTGATTTGGAGTCCTGAGGACCCCCCGGGGGTCAGAGATGGGAGTTCACTCATGGTCAACAGGCAGCAACGACAGGAGAGGTTTCTGGTGCCCGGCTGTCCCCGGAGTGGCCTCCGCAGACCGCCAGCTGCTCCTCACCTGGCCCGGCGTCCTTTCTCCGGCCGGCCCAGCGGCAGGACGGGGCTTGGCCACAGATGACATTATCTGATGTACCTTTAGCCAGAGTTGTGTCTGCTCTCTTGGCAGCGGGAGAACACACACTCCGTGTTTGTGGGCAGGTTGGCCAGGCAGGAAAGCCGGGAGATAGTGCTCAGCAAACAAGGGCCAGAGGTTGCTCAGCTGGGCAGAGAGAAAGCACTGGCCCGGGCAGGTGGCAGCGAAGGTCCAAAGGCGTCGGCAGCAGGAACGCAGAGGCTGCTGGGCCCCATGGCTGAGCCAGGCCCGGAGGACAGAGGGCTGCGGACCAGGGCTGCTCCGCAGGATGCCTCGGTGAGCCATGGGCAGTCCCTCGGTGCTGGCGGGGCGGGGATCGGACCTACCTTCCTCACTCAGGAACCTGCCACAGCAGTGAGACTGTGGCAGCGAGACCCCGTTTCCTGGGTGTCCAGGGGCCAAGGGGGCAGATTCAGGGGTCAAAAGTTGGTGTAGGAGCTGTGTCCCTACAGGGAAATGACCCAGCTTTTTACAAAGGAGTCTCCATCACAGAAGTGTGCCCACACACACCTGGGACTCTGGTGTCTCCCTTGTCTGTGTGGCTGAGGAGCTCAGAATCTCGTGGCAGTGAACTGATGAGAGGGTGGCAGGTGACACTTGTGGGAACATCAGAATTTATAGCTACAGCGGGCAGTTGTAAAATCCCAGCTGGAAGGGATAGACGACAGTCAGGGGCCAGGAGGTTGGGGGCCAAGGTTTCTGCCCTGAGTTTACATAAGAAATGTTTACTTGAGAAATGGCCTTTGCCTAAATTGGGGTGTGAGAGGGATTTGAAGCCGGAGGCTAAATGAGAAGGTTGAAGGGAAACAGACCCCCTCCTCCATTCTACCTTTCTGTGTTCACCTGCTCTGGGGAAGAGGGAGACAAAGACAAGCATCGCCGAGGGCTCCACACACAGTGGGGAAGGCCACGGGCCACCTGGCGGACCCTGAGCTGCTGACTGCAGCCAGGCCCGAGGAACCCACCATTGCTGGGGAGCTTGGCAGCCACAGCAGGTGACCAGGACATGACTCCCAGGAGCCAGACTGCAATGCTTAGAGCCTGAACAGGATAAAAGCTGCCTAGGGGGTCTGACAGTTCAGCCCCCATCCTTTAGGAGGCAAAGAAGCACCCGAGGCCGACCCCCAGGAATCATACAGGAATTCCGCAGCTTCAGTTCTCTTTCCTGCAGTCCTTCTACTCAAGGGGCCAAAGCCTGAGGAGACGGGGGCAGGGTCTCATGTGTCTAGATAGTTTAAAGTTATTAACCAAGCTAAGAACTGTTAAATAAAAATAGTTTTTATCCTCTTACATACCTTCCCCACAACCCGGAATGCAAGGTGTAAATTTAAAAATTCTAGGACTTCAGCCGTGGCAGGGTAGCTCAGTTGGTTGGAGCTTCATCCCAATACACCAAGGTTTCGGGTGTGATCCCCGATCAGGACACACACAAGAATCAACCAGTGAGTGCATAAATAAGTGGAACAGCAAACTGATGTTTCCCCCTTCTCTCTCTCTGAAAATCAATAAGTAAAAATAAAATAAAATAAAAATTCTAGGATTCCTTACAGGGACACTTAGAGTGTGCTGGCACAGGGAAGCCAGCCGCCAGCCCGAACCACAGCCTGGCCCCTCCTCTGCCCACCCCCACTCCCACGTGGTCTCACACACCCACCCTGCCCATACACACTCTCTCAGACAAATGCCCTGTGGCCTGGAGTGCCCAGTTGGGCAGCACTATGCTCAGGAGGACGGGTCTGGAACAAGGTTCTCACAAGCCCTGAGAGTAGGTGTGCGGTCCTTTGCACAGGGAGTTTTGGGGTCCTGGTACATGACGTGGCAAGTGCCCTTCGCCCACAGACTCCTCAGTCCATGGGCAGGATCATGACCAGAGGAGGAGAAAAGGGTCCCAGGCATCAGGGCAAAACTGTGAAATCCCAGCAAAACAGTTTTCAGAGGCCGGGGCTCATCCCCTCAGCCAAGAACAAAGCCTGTGTGTTTCCCCAGGCAGGAGTCCTCAGCGCGTCACTACTTGTCCAGGACACCGGCTCCGCATCTTAGAACAAAGACCTGTGCTCTGTGCGCCCCCCGCCCCCGCCCCCGCTCCCTTCCTCTCTATACTTCTGACTCAGGAATTTGATCAGAAGTTAATAGAAGGAGAAATTACAGTGTAGCCCAGCAGGAGCCGAGCTGGTTACCTACAAATAAATCTGCTTTTGCTTTTTTGGGTGTCACCTGTCAGAAATTCAGGTGATGTTCTGACAGTCGTACTGATTAAGATGTCAGCCGAATAGATATTTAAGTATTTGAAAAATACAGAGAGTTTGTCAAAACTTCAGGAAGAGTCTAACAAATCCTTCCTGGGAGCCAAGGAAAATATTTCAAAATGGAACAGAGGCCGTACCTTCTCTTCCGCAAGTTGAGCTGCCTACGTCGCTCCCGAAGGCACGGTGCCCTGACGGTGGTGGGTCCGAGCTGCCCCGACCTGCCCAGGGCGCAGCGCCCTCTCCTTCCGTTCCCTGTCTTTCCGTCCTGATGGTCCTTTCCTCCAGGCCGCAGCACCCCCGTCTCCTCAGAGCACCTACCTACCTGGAAAGCAGGACCCACCCTGGGCTTGATGGCCTCCACACACTGCACCAGGTTCCAAAGCGTCCAACCTTCCCTCCTCAGCATCCCTCCGCCTGGAGGCCTAACCTGGGAGGCCAGGTGTTTGTAGAAGCAATTTCTGAGCTAACTCATATCTTATACCTGTTGACTAATATCCTTCCTGCAGATATTTGCTGTTTAAAAACAAACAAACAAACAGGATGCAGATGAGCTCAAATGAGTCACTCAGCAGTTGATAGGATTTCTTATAATTTAACAAAATTAAATGGTAAACCGAGGTGATTTGAATGCTGGGGGTGGGGGTGGGGGTCAGGGCGGCAGCCCTGCTGGTACCCAGAAGCTTTCTGATCGCTCCTCATCTTCCCAAGAGTCTTTCTCCACGTCTGAGGGTGCAGACCTCTCACCTCCCCACCTCCTCCTCTGGCTCCTGCCTCCGAGGCATTAGCAGCTGGGGGTCAGGTAGCAGCAGAAATCTGGGGTTCTACTCCCTGGCCAGCTCTCTCAACGTGAAAACCTATTTTGAAATATTTCAGACAATTCAGTTTAAAGAATAGTGAACCCCATGTACTTGACACTAATTACCAAGAGCTCTGAAGCCCGACCCCCAACCCTCTTACTCCCATCATGTATCCCTCTCTGTTCTGTTCCCCAAAGACTGTGCTTCTGCTGAACGAGCTGTTTGTTTCCCACGATTTTCTGTTTAATTTAGGATCTTTATGGTAGTAGTTCTAACAATACACAAGGTAAGTAGCTATGGCCTGCTGTTTCCATACTCTTGCAGAAATCTGGGACGACGCGCAGGGGGCCTGCAGCTGGCTGTCACCTGTCATCTCCTTCCACTTCTATTGCTCTAGAACGTCCTTTCCAAGGACCGCTCGCCTCCACCATTGCAGGGAGCCACTGCAGCCTAAGCTGCTCAAAGACTGTCTTTTTTACTATCACATCCCAAACTCCAGGCCTGAAGCGTGACGTGGGCTCCTAGTGTTTGCTGGATGCTGGATTGACTGACTGAAGGAACGCGCCAGTAGGAAACTGGCATCTCTGAGGGAAGAAGACCGGGTTCAACAGGAACTCGTTCATGAATACACGCATTTCCCTGCACTGCAGAAATGGAAGAGAATTTGCATGCATTAAAAAACAGAAACTTTACTGGGCAGGGTTTTTTTTTTCCCCTTAGGCCACAATGATTAAATGATTGAATTGATAAACGGATAAAATAGAAGGTTCAGATCTGCGGGTGGCTAATACCATTCAACGGTATCAGCTGATACCACAGAACATCGATTTGTTTGAAGCACATTGAAATACAGTACCACTCCAACAATTACAGCAATGAGAAAGGGACTTTCTTTGAAATTGCCCACCAGCATTTTGAATAGCTTTGTTGGGCAAGACTCCTCATCCTAATTAGATGCAACTTTTCTGAGGAATGGTGTCTTCATAAACATTGAGCATTAGCTTGTTGATTAGTTGTTTTCCTCTCATGTGCTTGATATGCAAAGACTGTTTGGCATTAAGAGATATTAAGTCAGATGCAGGGAAGAGAAAATTAAAGGCCAGTTCCCAGCTCAGGTCTTCCCAGCACAGAGGCTTATAAAGCTCCCTCCAGTCCAAGACTGGATCTCATCCACCATGAGCTGCTTGGGTTCACGTCCCAGCCTGCAGATGAGGTTCTTTGGAGTTTGGAGCTATGTCGGGTCGGGGAGTCCTAAAGCTCTCTCTGTAGGGAAGAGGTGTGCCCTCATCGAGGCTCTTTCCTCAAAGCCCTTAGGCTCCATCTGCCCAAACGCATGCCTTGCCAGTTCTGGATCTCAACCACACAAGCTATTGCTCTCACCTGTCGGGTCTGCCCCCTGTGCTTTATCCTCAGCAGCTTCTGAAGGGTCTCCTCCCCTTCTCATGTCTCCCTGCAGGGCCTTCAGGACAGTTTGTTCTCCTCTGAAAGTGACAACAGCCTGTACTTCACCTACAGTGGCCCATCCAACACCTTGGAGGTCCGAGGCCTCAGCTACCAGGTAGAGGCATACCTAAGAACAAGGGGGCAAGAGCGGGCAGGGAAGGTCAGACAATCCCCTAAGTGGAGGGAAAGGGGGCCCTCTGCTCCCAAAGACAGGGCCCAGCCCATGCCGTTGCCCCACGAGACGAGACGGGTGCAGCCCCACGGAGGCTCCCCCAGCCACACTGTCAGAGCTGGAGGTCTCAGGGTGAACAGAGACCTTTGTCAACACCTGAAGCGCACTGTGTGCACCTGTGGGGGACTCTCTAAAACTCTTTATTAACTTTATAATTTGAAATAATTTTACATTTTTGAAAACGTTGCAAGAATAGTAGAGTTTCTATTACCCTTTGTCCCACTTTCCCTGATGTTAACATCTTGCTTACCCACAGCACAGTTATCAACACTGAGGCATTACCAATGATATGATACTATTAACTAAACTACAGCCTTGATGTAGATTTTTTTTTTCATTTTTGTATCTTTTTTGTGGGGGAGAAGGGGAAAAATGTACGGTCACTGGAACTAATAAAACATTCAGCCCTGGCTGGTTTGGCTCAGCGGATAGTGTCAGCCACTGGACAGAAGGGTCACAGGTTCAATTCCGGTTAAGGGCATATACCTGGGTTGCAGGTTCAATCTCCTGCTCCAGTCAGGGTCGTGTGGGAGGCAACCAACCGATGTGTCTATCTCACATTGATGTTTCGCTCTCCCTCTCCCTCCCTCTCTTCCACTCTATGTAGAAATTAATGGAAAAATATCTTTGGGTGAGGGTTAACAACAACAACCAACATTCAAAGTGCAAGTGCTTTTCAGGGACTGTCAGGAATCCCCTGGTTGGATACAAAGACCCCTGTGTCCCCCACCTCCCGAGGGGCAGACCCCAGGTGGCCCAGGTAGAATATGGTGGGGCCTAGGATGGTGAACCTTCAAGGCCCAATTCCGGTTTCCTGTGGAGGTGAGTTAGGACAAGCTAATGAGCAATGCCTTTCTCTGTGCTGCCACTTAGCTGTGTGACCATGAGCAAACTACTTAACTGCTCTGAGCTTTCTCTGTAGAACAGGGATTGCAGTCATACCCATGTGATAGGTTTGCAGTGAAGAGTGCATGAGATAATAAATATAAATTGATTAACACAATGCCTTGCACATTCAGTAAATTATTAATAAATAATTAGTATTATTGAGTGAAGACATCATTTTACTTCATGTTGTATTTTTATTTCTTTCTGCTGTTACATGTTTTCCATGTGTTATCTGCAGACTTGGAAACCACAGCGTCAGGTTCTCAGCTTGGCGGTCCCAGCCTCCACGTAGAGCCTGGGTAGGGAGCCCCTCGGGGCTGTTTATGTATCAGCAGGAGGATGTCCCTGTAGGGAGCTAAAAAGAAGTTTCTGAAGCTCCTGAGCCATCCAGCCCTCTGAGGAACCTTCTCGTGTCCCCCGCAGGTGGATGTGGCCTCCCAGGTACCTTGGTTTGAGCAGCTGGCTCAGTTCAAGATGCCTTGGACATCTCACAAGGACGCGTGTGAGCTGGGCATCCAGAACCTGAGCTTCAAAGTGAAGAGTGGGCAGATGCTGGCCATCATAGGGAGCTCAGGTACCGCTCAGGGCAGGTGGTGGGGCAGTGGGGTGCAGAATGGTCCCTTGGACAAATGATGTTCTTACCGAATGCTTTACTGACTAGTAGAACATTCTAGCAGACTTGGGTTCAAACCTCTGCTCCTCCACTTGCCAGCCGTTAGGCAGCTGCTGAGAGTCGCTGGTGTGGACTCGGGAGTGTGCCTCTTGAAGCTGCCGCCAGAGCTTCTGTCCATACACTGTACAGAGACAGGGCGAAAACCTCTCCGAGACCACCAGGCAGCTTCCGAATTGAAGGTTCTTTTCAGGGGACTCCTCCACCACAAGAGCATCCACTGCTCCCCCACAGTCAGATTCTGGTGATGGTCAGAGGCGGGTAGAATCAGCCCCTCCGGTCTGAGCCCGACCTTCCACCATCCGCACAGATCCAGATGCCACAGCGCCTCAAACAGCCACGTCCACGGGTGGACTTACCGCTGCAGAACAGCAGGGCTGAGAGGGTCTGGGGCAGGGCTCCTTCTCGTCACTGTCCTCCATCTGTCTTCTCCTTGCCTGTTTGGACGCATCTTTACAGAAGGGTTTTCAAATGATCTAGCCCTCGATATTTCTGGAGTATCCTCCCCCGGCCCTCCCCGCCCCACCAGACACACGTGCGCACGCACACACCACCTAAAGACATACGTTTCATGCAGACCTAGAACTAGAACTTTAGTCTCCTGATTATCATCTCAGATAAAAGCATTTCTCCATGGCATAGTTTTAGAGACAGCACTTTATACCTTTTAATTAATCATTTCCAGAAATACAGATTACTCAACTTTTTGAATATCTGCTCCAAATTTTTACAATCTTCAAATAGGGAAGTTCTGTTTATTGTCTAACCAAAGATCAAATGTGTGTAAATGTACTTTGTAACTGGAATAACCCCACAGGCCAAGTCCTACCTGCTTATGACCCTGTCCCTGCAATTCTGATCTAAACAAGAAAAAAGTAGATACTTCATAGGTCAATTTTATTTTTGTTTCTAATTCCTGCTGGCTTTGTTTGTTTGTTGTATCTGCTTTCTCTTCAAGAGTTAATGGTCCAGGAGACGCACGGGCTGTTACCAGGGCTTCCACAAAGCTGCAGAGTCCCCTTGCTGCATACAACCCTGTGGCTGTCAGCGTCCCTGACTTGTGGTAGAAAGTGAGGTGGAGAGTTATACTGAGCATTCCCCAGGTCCTTTGACCCTATGCTCAGTGTGTTTAGGATCAGATTTACTTGGCTAAAATTATTTAGATGATTTCTTTATTTTTTTCTTTTATTTATTTATTTTTAATTAATTAATTTTTTATTTACTTACTTGTTTTTGTTACAGATTTTTCTCATTTTTCCCCCATTGACAGCCTCCTCCCCTTCTCCCCCACCCCATCCCCAGCTTTGTTGTCTATGTTCACTGGTCATGCATACATACATGTAAATTCTGTGGATTATCTCTTTCCTCCCCAACCCTCCTCCTCTGAGGCTTGTCAGTCTGTACCCCACCTCTATGTCTCTGGGTTAATTTTGTTCAGCAGTTTGTTTAGTTCATTATATTCCACAAATAAGTGAGATCATGTGATATTTGTCTTTCTCTGCTTGGCTTGTTTTGCTTAGCATAATACTCTCCAGGTCCCTCCATTTCATCTCAAAGGATAAGAGATCTTTCTTACAGCTGCATAGTATTCCACTGTGTACATGTACCACAGTTTTTTAATCCACTCATCTACTGATGGACACTTATTTAGATGATTTCTTACAAAGATTATAAAAAATACTTTCCGTGACATTTACTCCACTGACCACCCCCCACAAAAAATTCTGTTTATAATTTTTTTTTTTAAGAGGGAGAGAGAGAGACATCAATCAGCTGCCTCCTGCATGCCCCCTACCAGGGATAAAGCCCACAACCTGGGCATGTTCCCTGACCAGGAATCAAACTGGGACCTCTCAGCCCATGGGGCAATGTTCAACCCACTGAGCTACACCAGTCAGGTGTGTTTATAATTTAAAAATAAATAAATAAAACAATACAGCCCCAAGCATTAGCTTCTTCTATGGAATCGGCAATGCAAAGGTGTTCTCCAGTGAGTTTGTGGCTTCGGAGATTCCAGCCATTTATGAGGGTCACGAATGCCGGCTGTTTGTGCCTAGTTCATGAGGGTCTCCCCAACTGGACCAGATCCTGGAAAGACCACCCACTCTTCTCACACAGTTTGTTTGGAAACGTGGCCTTTCCCTCCCTGCGTGAACGTTGGTATAGCCCCCTGTGCTCCCAGAGCCTGGAGCCAATGCCCAAGGCTGAGCGGGGCACAGGGCCCGAGCCCCCCACCTCTGGTTCTCTCCTGGCTCTTTGCTCCACCTCAGTTCTCAGGGAGCTGGAAGGAGGTGCACCCAGGATGCAGTGTGCAGGTCCTGTCCTACCCTGGCAACTTGTGATCCCTGTGCAGAAGGAGCACTGGGAAAGCTAGTTGATTGTTGTTTTTTGCACAGGGCTGTGGGGCTGCCTGCAGGAGGCACTTGGCTTGTGGCAAGGAATTGTTACATGATGTGTGTTGTCACTTTCCTTGTTTGGAAACAACTTAGAAGATTTGCTCTCTGACAGGAATTTATAGTAAGGAAACCAAAACTCCACCTGGGGGTATTGCACAGAGCTCTTTCCAGCTCCTTCGCAAGAAGATGTTGTTCTCAGATCCTGAGTCCAGGCCTCTTTCACAGCTTCAATGGCTATCAGAGTCTCATGGACTGCTTTCTGGAATACTGGTGCGATCTGAGACTTACTTCCCCAAGTCCATAGCGATCACTCTGTCATCCAGAAGTGGATGGTGTTCATGTGTGTGCAATGCATCATGTTTTCTTTTCAGAGAGTAAAAAGTATTACTGATAAAAATAAGAGCATGTACACCCTGGCCAGTTAGCTTAGTTGGTTAGAGCTTCACCCCAATATGCCAAGGTTGTGGGTTTCATCCCGGTTAGGGCATATACAAGAATCAACCAATGAGGGCATAAATAAGTGGATCAACAAGTCAATCTCTCGCTCTCCTTCCCTCTCTCTAAAACCAATTAAAATTTTTTTAAAGTAAGAGAATGTAAAAGGTGGAGAGAAATTTGAACACATGTACACTATTTGAACACATGTACACATCTATTACTTCTCTATTTTTTCTCCGTTATTTCTGAAAATAGATTCACTTTGCATTTTTAAAAGACATTCATTAATTCTTCAAATTAGCCCTTCCCACAATGCCAGCTTTTGAGCCAAACGAGTTGAATGATGAAATGTGGCCAGCATGTTTGCCAGCCCAGAATAATTAAGCTTCGCAGTGCAATTAACACCAGCCTTGCTTCTGAGGGAGGGACACACACAGGCACAGCAGGCCTGTGGCAGCCCAAACTCCACCCTTCTCCTGCCAGTCAGCCAGTGGCTGACCTGGCCGCAATGCCCAGCATCGGTATGCCTCCAGCACCCTAACGGTGCTCAGGTTGGCTATGGGCAAAGGCCCCGAGCTCCAGCTGCTGGGCTGCCTCATCCAGGGCTGAGTGCTGTGCCCCTTCCCTAGGGACCAGTCCCCTCTGCAAGGACAGACAGTCCAGGGTCGCTGGAGAGTGTGCAGGCAGCAGCGGCTCCCAGGCTGGCCCTCGCAGAATCTGTGATCTCAGGGATGTCTCTGGTGGCTTTGCAGGTTGTGGGAGAGCCTCTTTGCTGGATGTGATCACCGGGCGAGGCCATGGTGGCAAAATTAAGTCAGGCCAAATCTGGATCAATGGGCAGCCCAGCACGCCCCAGCTGGTGAGGAAGTCGGTGGCCCACGTGCGCCAGCACGACCAGCTGCTCCCTAACCTGACTGTCCGTGAGACCCTGGCTTTTGTGGCCCAGATGCGCCTGCCCAGAACCTTCTCCCAGGCCCAGCGTGACAAAAGGGTAACTGACTCCCGGGACCCCAGGAAGCCATGACATCCTTCTCCTCCTGCCCCTCCCTCCCTGCCTCAGAGCCTAGCCCAGGTCCCCTGAGCAGCCCCGCCCCCCACTACTCCCCACCCCCACCCCCTGCTCACCACCCGCTCACCTGCAGAAGTCCACCCAGCCCTCAGCCCCGCCCTTCAGTCGTCCTTGAAAGCCCCGTTGCCCTGAAAGCCATCTCAGCCCAGCTGGCTCCCTTCATGGCGGGTGACAAAATGTGTCATGAGCACTTGTTAATTGTCCTGTGGTCCACGTGGGCAGGGAGCCCAACTGTCTTGTCCCCAAGGCACGGCCACGTCTCTAAGGCCTGGTCACGTTCCCAACACATGGCGTGGGACGTGGGGCCGCTCAGGGTGCGTGGGCCAAGTCAGGGAACAAGCTGTGTGTCAGGGAAGTGAAGGCCGGCGCCTCGAACCTGTGCAGAGGAGCGGGTGTTTCGGTATTCGGGGGGATGTGTCTGGCCTCGAGTGAGGCCCACGGAGGGGCCTCCACAGCCCGGACTCCTCTGGTCCTCAGGTGGACGACGTGATCGCGGAGCTGCGGCTGCGGCAATGCGCCAACACGCGCGTGGGGAACACCTACGTGCGCGGGGTGTCGGGGGGCGAGCGGCGGAGAGTCAGCATTGGGGTGCAGCTTCTGTGGAACCCAGGTGAGGGCGGTGGGTGCTGGATGGGCGTGAGGGGCCCGCGTCACCCACCTGGCTTGGCTGGGTCCAGCCAGAGTCCTGCCGACTTACCAAGCTCCCCTCTCCGCCGAGAAGGGATCCTCATTCTGGATGAACCCACCTCCGGGCTCGACAGCTTCACGGCCCACAACCTGGTGAAGACGCTGTCCAGGCTGGCCAAAGGCAACAGGTTGGTGCTCATCTCGCTGCACCAGCCTCGGTCGGACATCTTCAGGCTGTTTGACTTGGTCCTCCTGATGACTTCGGGCATCACCATCTACTTGGGGGCAGCCCAGCACATGGTCCAGTATTTCACGGCAGTTGGCCACCCCTGTCCTCGCTACAGCAACCCCGCTGACTTCTACGGTGAGCCAGCCAGGCCTGGGCCTGGGACACAGGGCTCCCCAGAGCCTGGTGGAGAGATGCGGGAGAGGATGGGAGTGGGCAGAGAAGGCAGGAGGGGGTGGGCACGTGTACCTGTTTGCCAAGCATCAAATGCTAGAAACGAGGGCCTGGAAAACACGGCTCTTGACACAGCCACCCTGGTGCGCACCAGAGATGAGAAACTTGGCGCACTACAGCCTGCAGGGGATGCGATCCAAGAGAGAGCGGGTCAATTTCTAGAATTGTGGTCTTTACTCAGACTCCACACAGATACAGATCTGAGATTGGGGGGACGCTAGGAGGAAATCTTAAAGCTGCACTCACAGAGCAGGAGCCCAAAGGCCCTGGGTGGTGGGGGGCCCAGAGCACGGCCCAGCTCAGGGTCTCTTTGGTGGTCTCAGCCAATGAACCTCTCAGTCTGAAAGAGGCCTTTCTGCGTGGGGTCCTGAGCCCTCCGCACATGGCCCTCAGGGGGAACGGGAACACAGCTGCCTTCCAGGTGCCTGTCCTGAAAGCAGGTGCCCAGACCTGCATGCCGAGGAACACGGTGGCGGCCGGGCAGGCCACACAGCTGTGCCAGGGCTGGGGGAGCAGCGGCCACGGCGTGTCCCATAGGCAGCGGGAGCCCTAGCCTTCCTCTCGGGATGGCCTGGTGTAGCGAGGGCCTCACCATAAACATGATGACAGGGGCCATCTGCTTAAGGGGAGACACTGGACCCAAGGGCACCAAGGTGTTCTCCATCCGTACAGATGAGAAGATGGGAATCCAAAGAGTTAAACACCTTGCATAGCTGATAGGTGCAGAACCGAGATTCCCAGCCGGTGTGCCAGCCCCCACCCTGACTCCTGGCCCTCATGCCCACTCCCTCCTCCCAGCATCCACTCTCCAACCCTCCCCTAGGAGGATGGGCACTCTCTCCACCCGCCAGTCCTCACCTTGTGTGAACTCACCTAGAAGTCACCCTCTCACCCTGTGTTCAAGCGCCAGCCTGGCTTCCTGCCACAGTGTCATCCTTGGGCCAGCCATTCCCAGATAAGGGGGCAGAGGGCACCTGCCAACCTGCCACTGGGATAAACTGTAGTAACCCCAGTGCAGGGTTACCAGAAGTCAAACGTCCGTAACAAACCTGAAAAAACTTTCTTTTTCTTTATTATTATTATTATCATGTTTTTTTGGTGGGGACTCTTGCTTATAAGACACTCACCATGTGGGGGCAGGCCTAGTGGTGCTGAGAGAGTCTGCATCCTGAGCTCCAGCCCTGCACACTGCGGGGACACATCGTAATTTATAAGGTCCCTCCTAGACATTCTCCTGGCCTGAGATGTGCCATGAAAATGGGAGGAGGGAAGAGGCAGAGAGGTGAAGAGGTAACCCCCAGCCAAGGGTAGAATGGAGGCAGGGGTGACCCCCTAAGGCCTGAGGAGGCTGGGCTAGGAAGGGCCTGGTGTGCATTGCAGCAGCCCCATAAGGGGAGGCCCGTGGTCTGGGGCTTGTCATGCTGGCTCTCTCCCCTGGGGCAGGGAGAATTTTATTTATAGTTGGTGGGACCCTGGCACCCTCCAGCTAAAACATTCTTCCCATGTGAGCAGGCTGCTTCAGAAGCCAAATTACTAATTTACAGTGAGAACTAGAACGTCCAGGAGCCCAGACTGCTCGGTCTCACCCTGGCCAGCACACCTGGGCAGCACACCTGGTCAGCACACCTGGTCAGCACACCTGGCCAGCACACCTGGGAGGCCAAGTCCTCATCACAAGCTGCTTGGACAGCTCAAGTTGTAGCCAGAGCATAACTGTGCCGCAGCCTTTGGATCTGAAGGTCCAATGTCTCCTCTGTCCTGAAGCTGTCCCATCATGGGCTGGGTGGGTGGGGCGTGGAGTCGGCACCTGCATGGCCTCCTCTGTGGCCCTCTTCCTGATCCACCAGCCCTGCCCCTGATGCGGGCTTTCTGTAGATGTGCACCGGCCCGGCCTGGGGAGCCAGACGGGGGATCCAGCCTGGGCATGTCTCTGCCCTCTCTGCTCTGACCATCCCCGCATGGGCCACTCGCAGAGGGCAGGGAGCATGTTTGGGAACTCCAGGGTCTGACCAGCGTTGTGGGCTGGCCCTGAACTGAACTCCTCACCTGTGAGAGGGACAGGCCGTCCATGACCCCACACCCTCTGCTTGCAGTGGACCTGACCAGCATCGACAGGCAGAGCAGAGAACAGGAAGTGGCCACCAGGGAGAAGGCACGGTCACTCGCAGCCTTGTTTCAGGAAAAAGTGCATGACTTTGACGACTTTCTGTGGAGAGCGGAGGCCAGGGAGCCAGGCGGGGGCCCCTGTTGGAAGAGGTGAGGCAGGCCCGGGGCTCCGCATGGAGTGCCCTCCAGAGGTGGCTGCCCCCACCCCCATGACACACTCTCTGTCTTGACAGCCTGGTCCTCCCAGGGGACAGCAACCACCTCCCGACTCCCACCAAGCTGCCGGGCCCCGTGCAGCAGTTCACCACGCTGATCCGGTAATTGTCTGCCCTTCATCCCCACCGCCTACCACCCCTCTCACCCAAAAGTCTCTTGTGTCAAATGCAGCCTTATCTAAAGTGAGTTTGAAGGAGGAACTGAAATTTGAAGTGAATTTAAAGAGGTAAATCATTTCAAAAAAGCATCACCAGCCCTCATGTGTGATATAGAACATTCCTGTTACTTTTATTCTTTAAACAAAAGCAAAGTGTCCGTACTGGCCAGATGATCACAGAAATCTCATAGGATCCTTGGGGAAAAGTCAGACAACACAGGAGACCCTCACGTGGAAAGGGGAGGTTCCCTGTCATGCCAGCCCTCCGAGGAAACCAGACCCAAGTTTTGGTGTCTTTCTAGGTGTTTCCATGCACAAAGACACCTTAATACATAAATGGAATTCTACTCTGCATATTGTTCTTTGTTCTGGGATCATACTTTGCATCTTGTTCTCTGTTCTGCAATCATTTTGATTTTTTGTGGGGAGAGAAAGGGTTACTTAGAATAGCACCTCTACCTCTCATCGGGTCAGGTCTTTCTTGGCATTTCGATCTAGCCGTAATTCATTTTCCTGTGGAATCCATACGGATGGTCAGATTATTGTAGATTGTTGCTATTACAAGTGACTATTGCCAACGTCCTTGTAGATACCCGTTTACACACCTGACTAGCTGTTTCCTTAAGGCAGATACATCGATGGTGAAAGTAACACAGTCATTTACCGAGTAGCTACCGTGAGACACGCTTTCATCAGTGAGCTCACTCTGAAGTGGTCACGGCTATCTCCATTTTACAGATGAGAAAAATGAGGCTTACAGAGATTCAGTGCCGTGGCCAAGGTCACAGGACGGGTGCACGTTGTTCCCTTGGCACCTCTTTCTTTTGTTTTTTAAGTCGTCAGATTGCCAACGACTTTCGAGACCTACCAACCCTCCTCATCCATGGGGCGGAGGCCTGCCTGATGTCCCTGATCATCGGCTTCCTCTATTATGGCCACGGGGCCATCAAGCTCTCCGTCATGGACACGGCGGCCCTCTTGTTCATGATCGGAGCTCTCATTCCTTTCAACGTGATCCTGGATGTCATTGCCAAATGTGAGTGTCCCCTGTTCCCCATGACCCACACCTGGAGCAGCCTGAGCACACGGCATCGGCCCCCCCAAACTGGTCCAAAGCCGACCCTTGTTGCTCTGAGCTCCCAGGTTTACTGAATAATGTCACCACGATTGTGAAATAAAAGGTGATAATTGTTTTCAAAGTTCACACATTAATATTAGTATCAAATGAAAGCAAGTTACCAAGGCATCGTGGGCATACCTCTCCCAACGGGGTTTATACTTGACAGCAATGCACAAGTCACAGAACTACAAACATCTGGCTCAGGGTGCTTTACTCTGCCTCTTAAAAAAATATATATATATATATATATATATATATATATATATGACATGTAGGCAACATAACTATTTTTAATGGTACTCAAAGAGAGTAAAAAACAGAAACATGAAATTAATTTCATTTTTCATCCTCCTTTTCTCCCCTTTTGAGGTCACTCGGAGAGGGCGATGCTTTACTATGAACTAGAAGACGGGCTGTACACCGCTGGTCCCTATTTCTTTGCCAAGGTGACTGGTCAGGGCTGAGAGCCCCGGGGGAGGGGAGGAGGGCCAGAGAAAGCTGCACCACATGGTACAGACGTTACAGAGAAGCATTTTGCTGAACCAGGGGCTGTCATCATCTGTGGTTGTAGATGCCATACGCCCTAGGGGAGTTTCAGAGACTTGATGTTTTTTAAACACCAGAAGGCCAGGACTGTGGACCAGGAATGACACTTTCCTGCTCAGCAGAAACCTAAAAAAAGAAAAGGTGGGAAGCAGCTAGCGTATTTCACCTCTCCAGTCCCACCATGCCCCCTGGAGCAGGCCGGGCAGGTGCTACTATTCTCACTGCAAAGAGCAGAGGCTCAGAGAGGTTATGTGGCTGTCTCAGGGCCACACAGCTATTGGGTCTGGGCAGGTGGGGTGGGGACTTGGAACCAGGTCTTATGAGAGCAGATACCCACTGCCCCCCTGGGGGAAACTGCTCTGACCTGCCCCAGGGGAGCACGTGGCATCTGCAGGGGAAGGCAGCCTGAGCTGCTCCAGGGTCCCACAGGTGCGCACCCCCTGCTGCTGCCTGATCGTCCCCGGGAGGGAAGGCGGGCATCACTGGGAGTTGCTGCCTTTAGCCATTTATAAAGAAGAGTGGTAAATGAAGGCGTTGGCTCCACATCTTTGCAGATCCTCGGGGAGCTCCCGGAGCACTGTGCCTATATCTTCATCTACGGGATGCCCACCTACTGGCTGGCCAACCTGCGCCCAAGCCCCGAGCCCTTCCTGCTGCACTTCCTGCTGCTGTGGCTGGTGGTCTTCTGCTGCAGGGTCATGGCCCTGTGCGCTGCCGCCCTGCTCCCCACTTTCCACATGTCCTCTTTCTTCGGCAACGCTCTCTACAACTCCTTCTACCTGACCGGGGGCTTCATGATAAGCCTGAACAACCTGTGGACAGGTGAGGCTTGCTCCCCTCACCTGGCTGAGCTTTATGAGGCCTGCTTTGGCCTGGAGATGGGAACTCATCAGTAGGTCCAGTTCAAGGAGCCCTGGCCAGCTGTCCTGTGTGACCAGGGAATAACTCCACAAGAGGGTGTGGATGGCACTGTTCCAGGCTGACACCTGGAAGTCACCTTGACTCTCCCTCACCCTCCACATCACCAGGAGCCAGATCAATGCTGCCTCCCGTCTTTCTGAAATGTTTCATTGCCGTATTCCCTAGCCCTGGTCTTATCATCTGATCTTTGGGCCAAGGCAATTCTGTAGCCTGGTCTCTGTACCCACGTCCCTCCACGTCCCTGTACCCACGTCCCTCCACGTCCCCGTCAACCCTCAGCCATGCAGGGCAGATCCACCAGGGAGGGGCAGGCTGCTCCCTCCCTGCTGTCTCCACCCAGCTCCTCTGAAGCCCCCACACCACACAGGCCTCCCCTCAACAGGAACACCATCCCCGCCTTCCCCAGCTCCTCTCTGCCAGGCCTTTCCGGACCCACCCAGGCAGGGTTCGGTCTCCCCGCCCCCCCCCCCATCACACCTGCACAGGGTCAGGACACAGATGAAAATCTTTGCTTTGGGGCTGCTGAGCCTCCACAGCCCGTCCACTCTGGGAGGCTGACCATGTGCTGGGAAGGACACCTAATCAATTACTCTCTGGAATTGTTATGGACCAACAGGCAGGGACCCCACAGCCATTTGCCAGCCCCCCGCCTGCCCCAGTCCATGTCCCAAGCTGCCCCTCTGCCCGTTCACACTTTCTCCCTCTCCCCTCCCAGCTCCTCCTAGGGACTTGCTTCCCCAGGGGCAGGAGCAAGGGGTCAGCCCGCATGAATACTTGACTCTCCCTGTCCTCAGTGCCCGCGTGGATTTCCAATGTGTCCTTCCTCCGATGGTGCTTTGAAGGGCTGATGCAGATTCAGTTTAAAGGGCAAACTTACCACTTGGCGGTTGGCAACTTCACCTTCCCTATCCAGGGGGAGAAAGTAAGTAGCCGAGGGCTTTGACTCCTAGTGCATGGCACCCATCTGAACATCTTAATGAGCTCACTGATGTCTGTGTCCCCAGATCCTCAGCTCCATGCACCTGAACTCATACCCGCTCTACGCCATCTACTTCATCCTCCTCGGCATCAGCGGTGGCTTCGTGGCCCTGTACTACGTGTCCTTAAAGTTCATCAAACAGAAATCAAGTCAAGACTGGTGACTCATGCCCAGACTGCTGCCCGCCGGTGGGGGACTTGAGCAGACCCTTCCACCGCACTCCCTTTCTCCCAAGGAGCCCCTTGCTGGGCACAAGGACAGGGTGAACACAGCTGCTGAGCTACATCCGGCCCGCATGCTGCAGTGGCACAAACTGGCCACAGGATGGCAGTAGAATATAGACAGTGGAAAGGATTTTTGATCACTGGCCGGAGCCTAAACCGACTAGGAACTGAAAACCATACTTGAGACACCTACAATGTTGCTAATTTATTTCCTTTTGATATGTATTTATATAGCCAACTCAGGACAGATGGGAGCAAATTAGGTAGGAATTGAGTACCTAGGCCACGCAAGATTTTTTACTGTGTGTTCACCACCCTAAGTCAAGTCTCCTTCCAACATCATTTACCCCCACTTTACTCTCTTCTACTCCCCCTCCCCCTTTCCCTCTGGTAATCACCATACTGTAGTCTGTGTCTATGAGTTTTGTGGGGGTTCTTTTGTTGTTTGTTTTTGTTTTGCTTAATCCCTTCACCTTTTTCACCCAGCCCCCCAAACCCTTCCCCTCTGATGGCTATCAGTCTGTTTTCTGTATCTATGAGTCTATTCCTGCTTTAATATTTTATTCACTAGATTCCACATATAAGTGAAATCACATAGGACTTGTCTTTCTCTGACTGGCTTATTTTACTTAGCATGATACTCTCCAGGTCCATTCATGCTGCCGCAAAAGGTAAGATTTCCTTCTTTTTTTTTTGGCCAAGTAGTATTCCATTGTATAAATGTACCACAGCTTCTGTGTCCACTCATCTACTGATGGGCACTTGGACTGCTTCCAAATCAGGCAATAATTGATAGGGCCCGAGGAAGCAAGAACATGATAACTAGTGGAATATTTGGCCTCCTCTTCCAGAGTCCCCAGACTCTGTGTTAAGCCACTATAAATACAGAAAATGACCTACAACCTACCAGTGAGATGCTATCCCTTCTCTTTGTGTGGGGTCATGTGCTCCAAAAGCCAAAGTGAACAATTAAAAATGTATTGAGCATCTACTCTGAGCCAAGTACAGTACAAAACACTCAAAATAATTTTTTTTTGTGGGGTAGGTATTATCCCATTGTATAGATGAGGAAACCGAGGCACAGACAAGTTTGGTATGCAAAATAAGGTCACACGGCTACTATGCGGTGGAGTAACGTGGGGGTCAGAAAAACCTTTTAAGCCTTTAAAAGTTAGAGGGCAGAAGACAAGGCCTGAACCACTGTAAGGCTTGGAATCCCAGGAAAGTTCCAGAAGTTGAAGAGTTTTAAAGAGGCTGTGTCCACTCAGCCAGGTCTCTTATAATTGCATTTTGCTGGTCCTGGCTGGGTCTCAGGACCAGCCTTGAACCTCTCACAGTGGCCAGGGTATGGGATGCTTCATGTCTGAACATGGAGAACCATTTAACCCAAAACAGGAGCACAGAGAGCAAGGAGGGACTTGTTCCCAAAGGGAAACCAGAATCTGGAACAAAAGAGGGCGTGGGGTGGGTGTTTAGGAGGCAAACAGTGTTCACCCCAGCTTCCCCAGGTCCTTGGGACTTTGAATGTGGTCCCCTGGCTAGCAGCATGGCCCTCACCTGGGAACTGGTTAGACAGGCCCCACCCAGACCCACTGAATCAGAATCTGCATCTTAAAAAGGTCCCTGGGTGATTTGTATGCACTTTCGAATTTGAGGAGCAGTGCCCTTATACAATACAGCCATCAAACTCAGGACATTCATATTGTTACATTGTAACATCACTCATTTCCGTCACCACCACCCAATGGGCAGACCTGATTCAATATTCACTAACTACCCTGACAGTGCCCTTCATAGCAAAAGGATCCAGAGCAGGATCAAGGGTTGGATCTAGTTGTTAATTCTCTCTGGTCTCCTTTAGTTTATAATAATCTTCAATTTTCCTGACCTTGACACATACAGATTTTATAGGATAGTTCTCAATTTTGATTTGTCTGGTATATTTTCATTATTAAATCAAGGTCATGCACCTTTGGTGGGTGTATCACAGAAGCGATGTCCTATCAGGTGATTTCAGTTGGCCCCATGTTGACGATGTTCACTGTGATCACTTGAAGAAAGGGGTGTATGCTAGGCTTCTCCACAGACAAGTCCCTATTTTCCCTGCTTTTGTAATAATTAAGCATTTTGTGGGTAGGGACTTTGAAATTACGTAAATTTCCCATTCCTCATTAAACTTTCCATTTATTCATTTGGAAATTTATCAATATAAACTTGTGGTTTCCTAGTTTATTCAATGTGTTATATCCTTACTATCGTTACTAATTTTGAATGCAGCTCAATGTGTCCCTGATTCGGCCCTGGGAGCCCACTCAAGCTGGCTCCTGCATCCTTTCGACACATCCCCATCACCCTGTGAACACTTGCACAACAAAGGCTCATCTTGTACATTCCCATCGCGTCCTGGAAGTGGACATTTCTCTAAAGAATATTGGTTCCTTTTAGTGGAAAAGGGTATTTAAAAGCCAAGATCTGAGCGATAAGCATGCTCATTACCATTGGGGTGTCACTGCTCTCAGACCTTCTCAGTGGACAAAGCTAAGGATCTCTCTCTCTCTCTCTCTCTCTCTCTCTCTCTCTCTCTTTTCTCTCTCTCTCTCTCTCTCTCTCTCCACATTAATATATCCAGTTCCAATCCAGCACTACAGAGATGACTCCAGCCCTCTCTCTTTTCATAGTTGTAACTCCCTCTTCCAAATGTGAGAAACTTGGCTTCCTGACCCTTAATATTTTCACTCAGTTGGTTAATCCCCTGCATATAACCCATCTCCCATCTACACTGGATGCCTCCTGATCCTCCTCCCCTGCCTGGGCTGTGACTCCCATGTCAGGCTGCCCCTGGTCTGCACAGATGCCTTCCTCCCCCTACTCTGCTCCCCCACCCCCACCCACACTGGTCACCTAATGGCTTTAGGCCAGAATGGAGAAGGGAGAAGGAGGAAGAGGACCTTGGGGTCTTTTAACTCTCCAGTGATTCCAATGTGCAGAGATGGGTGACAGCCACTGAGGTCGCTCATCTATCTGTCCCTGTGAGAGTCACAGCTACTGACTGCAGAGAGAGGCTTTGCTGACTCAGTGGGCCCTGGTGTGCAGGGCTGCAGGGGCAAAGTAGCCAAGGCAGCAAGGTGGAGGAACTCCAACAGCCGCGTTCCTTTGAGGGTTTTTATTCTTCCCCTCGGGCATCCAACCCTGGTTCCCCACCCTGGAGCTTTAACAAATGCCAGTGTGGACCCACCCCCAGAGATTCTGACCCACCACCTGTCTGTGTCTGATAAATGCTTCCTCGGGCAGGTGAGGTGCGGGAACCCCTGAGCCAGAGGCACACACGCAGTTCAGTTTGCCCTCCCTGCATGGCAAGGGGTCGAAATCTGCTTCTGTTGTCATTATCAAAAGCAGGGATTGCAAACTTTCCTGGTAAGGGTCAGAGAGCAAATATTTTAGGCTTTGCGGGTCATGAGGCCTCTGTCGAAACTACTCAACTCTGTTGTTGCAATGTGACAGCCACCACAGATCATTCTAAAGTAGGGGTGGTGCAGCTCGTTCCAATGAAACGTTTACAAAAACATGCGCCTGCTGGATCGGCCCGAGGCCGGATTTTGCAGACCCTTGATCAAAACATAACGGTTTTGAAATGTGCATTTTAAACCCTCCAACTTCAAGTTATGCTATTGACAGGGAAATTTTAATTAAGCAGAAAATAATGACCTGTATTGACTCCAATATTTCCTGATGTGATTTAACTACTCTAGTTCCTATGAAGATTATTTAAGACAGTCTTGCCCTGGTCAGGCTCACAGAGGTAGATCTTGCATTTGCTTTTTTCTTTCTCCCGTTTTTCTTCTGGTTTTGATCTCAGATAAAACTGCTAGCAGCAGTGACGTTTAAATCTACACCAAATCCAATCCAGCCGGTGTGACTGAGTGGTTGAGCTTCGACCCATGCACCAAGAGGTCGCCAGTTCAATTCCCGGTCACGGCACATGCCCAGGTTGTGGGCCAAATCCCTAGTGGGGGGCATGCAGGAGGCAGCCAATCAATGTTCTCTCTCATCGATGTTTCTATCTCTCCCTTTCACTTCCTCTCTCTCTCAAATCAATAAATGAAAAAACAAATAAAAATAATCTACACTAAATCCATATGTAAACTACAGACCGGAGTCTCGAGGTTCTACTGAGACTCAAATTGGTCACTTAGCAGAGGGGTTCAGCACAGCCACCTGTGCCACAGTCCCTGGGGCCCAGGCATGTGTCAGGAGCACCAGGCAGGCTCCAAGAAGGGGCAAGGGGCTCGGATGTGTTTGTGAGGAAGCATCTTGCTGGTTGACCTGTGCTCATTTGGAAAATACATGTAATGCTCATGTCTGAAAAAAAAAAATCCTTATTTGCAAGTAGTCTAAACTAGGTAATTCAAAGCTCAAGTCATCTGTCACGTGTTTTTGATAATATGATTGATTCTTCCTTTAAAGGGGCTGAGGTACAGAGCAGTGTCCCATGTCCCTGTTACAAGGTCTGCCTGAGGCAGCTTCTGCAGGGAAGGAGGCAGGCGGATGGAGCACAGCCCATTTTTGGCTGGCAGGCCAGGAACAGCAGAGCATGTGTTAGCAGCTAATAATTAAAACAATAATGTCTCAAGCAGTGGGTTGAGATTTTCAAACACACTCCAACTCAATGACTGGTTAACACTTCAGCTTTCTATGTACTAGTGCTCACATTCATTGTTGGTCTGATGATCTTGTCTTTTTGTAGAACTGGAGGTAGTCTTCGTTTCCCCAAACTGCTAAAAAGCTCTCCTGCTTCCGTTAAAAATAATTTTTTTGTTGTTGATTCTTCTCTTGCCCTGCGCTTGTGCTCAGCCTGAGGTTATCTTGGTTTCCGTCACATTTGAGAGCTCTCCTCCTCCTCACTGCAAACTTGAAAATGTGTACATGTGAGAACACAGGTTTTAAAGGACTTCTTGGGTCTCAACCCTCAGTATCTAAGCTCTGAGCCACAAAGTGGCATCTTTGATCTTTTATGAAAATGTGTGTGAGAAAATCCTCCAATGCCCAAACCATACAGAAATAACAGACTAGGATGGGAGACAGGTGTCATGCCCCTTGATTCAATGATGCCTACTGGGCACCCACCAGTGCCAGGCTCTGCTCTAACTGGTGAGTCTGCAAAGTTCTCGGAGGGAGAGCTCACATTCTTGGGGAGGAAATGACAACAACAAGTAAATAATGAAGGGAATTTCAGCAAGTGCACACCTGAGGCAGGGCTGGCGATGATACTACTTTCAGGAGAACTCTCTAAGCACAGACCCGAGAGCAGACCACTGTCCAGATAAATGTGCAGAGGAGGCGTGAAGTCTGAAGCTGGTTCAGGTTTTTGCTCTTCCTGGACATATGGATATTTTTTTGTCTTCATGCAAAGAAGAAAAAGATAAGTGCCTATTTTCAATTTGCTAATGCAGTCATTTCTTTTATTTGTACTAAGACCACATAATTTGGCTTTGTAAAGTCTGCAGGATACATTTCTAATAGAAACACTCGTGTGCATGACTGTACAACAGCAAAGCAATAAATTACCGTGATTTTGGACCCCCTGATGCTACAAGTTCCGCCACACTTCAGGAATGTGGCTTGTACTTATAAAAACTACAAATATCGGTCTGTCAGAAAAACAAATATTAAAGGACAATTGTGCTCACAGACATAAGAAAAAGTGTGCAGCTCAGTCATTGCAGACTTGAGAAGTACATTGTATGGGAAGAACAATTTGCAATATAAAAAGCTTGCTTAATAATTTACTGGAATTTGCAAACTCGGCAATTATGCCAAGCAATGGGTAGTTGATTAAGTGGAAGAAAATAACCTTACAGTGTAAACTGTTCAGAGACTGGGAATACTTGTATTAACGTGAAAAGGTTTTTGTTTGATAAAAAAGTAGAATACTCTTAGAGATTCCAATTTTACTTTTAGCTGGATTGCTTCAGTTTTTTTGTATTCTCATAGTAACTAAATGACTAGTCAGAGGACTAGCCATGTGATATATGGCTGTGGTGATGTGCATATTAACTCTGTGAGCCCAGGTTTTCTCATCATGAATCGCAGGCAAGAGGGAGCCAGACACACGGCAGTACTTTCCAGTGTTAGCTGCGAAGAACCCACAGAACAGACTCAAACTCGATCTAGTGAACGCAAAGCCAGGGTCGCGCTTGGCCTGGTGATCCAGACAAAACAAAGAACTGGTTCTTAGGGAGTCCATAGTCTGTGATCCTTGCTTTGTCTTTCAGTGGTTTCTGGAGAGAGAATAATTAATATCCTGGGTGGAGAGAGGGGCTGAGAAAGTGGCAGACAGGTGACATTGATGCCGGCCGAGCACGCACTCAAGAGAAAGGAACAGGAGGGCGAAGGCAGGGAGGAAAGGTGCTGACTGCCAAGTGGAGGGGATCCGAGCATTCAAGTAACTGTAAACCACTCCTGCCCTCTGACACTTGGAGATAAAATCCCCTACATTTTAAGTGTTGATTTATCATATATCCTACTCGACCAATTCTTGCCGAATCTGTACCTCAGATATCTCAAATTAGCTATCTGTTTGTCCTTAAAACAGACACACAGTGACTTCACTGGTTCTCCACACACAAACTGTACACTAAGGAGATTCTGGTAACAACAGAAGCCACCAGACAACTTTTAATTTAAAATTTTCAGACTAAAGTCCTTGAAATGGCTAAAAGCAGTTATGCAAAAATCTGAAGCACACACATTTTTGGAATACAATTTATTCAAAGCATTTCACATTAAAATTATATTAGGTTCTAATACATAGATGCTCAATTACATATAAAACACTGTAGTTTCCAAAAGTTTACAATGTCATTTATCCTCACCCGAGAACATTTTTGCGTTTACCTTCAGAGAGTGGGAGGGAGAGAGGGAGGGAGGGAGAGAGAAAGAAACATTGACGTGAGAGAGACACATCTACTGGCTGCCAACCACACGACCCCAACTGGGGCCAGGGACAAACTGCAACCAAGGTACATGCCCTTAGCAGGAACCGAACCTGGGACTCTCTGGTCTGTGGGCCGACGCTCTAACCGCTGAGCCAAACCAGCCAGGGCCAATGACGTTTACTTTTTAGAATTAGCTGTTTGCTTATAATTTGAGTTTAACATGTATTATTGAGCATTGCTGTAATTGTGTTTAGTCTGTATTTCAATTTATTTTAACTTCACTGGTAGATATTTAGAAAGCATTCGTAAGCCCACCTAGAATATACAATTACTAAATTTTAAATATTTGCAAGGGTAAGCCCATTAGTGCTAAAGATATGATGCGCTAGTTCTTTGTTAATACAGTGTAGCCTGCTGTTCAGAAGCAAGGTGAGGATTTCTTCCTTGCACGACACACATTTCACCAGTCGGCGTACAACGCTGGCTCGGAGTCCTTCACTGTAATCAGTTTCCCCAAAGATGACTGTGAAATCCAGGTTATGCCTCATTTTAGAGACCTATGTTAATGAGCATTAATAAAACTTGGCTCAAATATTAGCCTAACCAAAACTAAGGTCTGCTTCCATGACATCACTGACAGAGTGAGACTCAGGGCAAATCAGACATGCACAGGGCCTGCACCTGGGAAGTTCAGTAAATCCTCTAGGCTGGGGCTCAGCACTGGCCGAGCCCCAATTCCTTAGGTCTAACTCTACAACAAGCATGGCCAATGTAACAACATTTATTTCTTGCTTTCCTCCATCACCCCTCCCTCTGAAGCCATCTGTCAGGTCTAGATGCAGGATGGCTGGTCCCACAAGATATAGGTTAGCAGCACAAACAGCAGGCCAACTTATTTCCCCAAGGCAAGGTCACCCAAGTAAATAGTGGGAACCAAGTAAGTTGTCACTGAAACCAAAACAGTAGGTGGTCACCAATTTCAAATAGACAAGGAATATAACAAAATGGGGATAACTCTCAAATAAAACATTTCCAACTTTTTTTAGTAGTTAATTACCTAATCCCTATACCTTTGTAATGGCAAACTGTTTTGACTATCATCTTACAAGCCTTCTTTTTTTTCAGTGATTTTAGAGAGGAAGGGAGAGGGAGGGAGAGAGAGAGACATCAATGAGAGAGGACATTTCACCTCCACAACGCTGGCTCAGAGTCACTTCATTGTAATCCGTTTCCCCAAAGATGACTACGAAATGTGTGTAGTGCCACCTCCTGCATGCCCCCTCCCCACTGGGGATTTGGTAGAGAACCTGGGCCTATACTCTCACTAGGAATTGAACCAGTGACCTCTTGGAGCATGGGTCAATGCTCAACCACTGAGCCACACCAGCTGGGCTCTTCTTTTTTTAAAACATGTTTTCATTTATTTTTTTAGAGAGAAGGGAGATAGAAACATGGGTGTGAAAAACATCAATCGGCTGCCTCCTGCACGCTCCTACTGGGGATCGAGCCTGCAACCGCGGCATGTGCCCGATGGGAACTGACCATCTCAGTCCATGGGATGCCGCTCAATCCACTGAGCACACTGGCTGGGCTTACATTCTTTTATAGTAACTATACAATGTGGCTATTAATGGACATGGAAGCCAATTTGGGGATAACTTTTAAACATCTTAATACAAACAAACCTTTTTATATTAAATCAATATTTATAGGATATAACTATAAAGTCACAAATAGAAGTATTTTATGCCAACAAAAACCTGAAACCAAAACGAGAGGAAGTGCCTTGCTCTACTTCATGATCACTCGGACTGTTTTGGAGACCTCCGTGAGCAGACGCGCACGGGAGCCCCTGTGGTAGAAGGCAGGCACGCGAGGGACCTCCAGGCGCTGGCAAACAGCACCCGACCAAGGGCGAGCAACAGTCCCTCTGATCTCTGCTCCTCACTGGACAAGGACGAGCAGTGGATCTGATGACTTGTAAGATGACTTCTAGCACCAACATTTTACAAAATGACACATGATGCAGAGATTCACGCATGTAAAGAATTGATACATCACAGAATATCACACATCAGAAAGCTCGCTGAATGTCATTCTGTCCAGCTTTAAAATTTTTCAGATAAACAATATTAACAAGCAAGTCTTAAATAAAGGAAAACCTTTTTATGACAATAATAAGTGAAACTGAGTACAGGACCTGAAGAGTCAATTGGGAGAAGATCCTAAAAAATTATGGCTTCATACATCAGAAGCCCCAAAGAAAATGCCATTAATTGATATTGTCGGCAAAACCCAAAAAGTCTGGTGACCACGTATACACAGCCACCGTCAGTAAGATGCTGAATATATCATATCCTGTATTATGAATAAATACAAGCACATAAACAGATTAACTTTTAATTTATTTATTTTTGTCTCTCAAATACATTTAAAAAATAACATCTTAGACACAGAATCACAAATACACACAAAACAAAGCGGTGTTTGCTTGTTTCACAAAGGGTTTTCTCTTAACTCCTTTAGCTGCTTCGCATAGAATTCAAAGCTTTCCTGTCGAGGATACAAAAAGGGAGGGAAGGGAAGATAAAATTATTAGCAAGAGCGATGGCACAAAACTTAAAGATCAGGAAGGACTGCGAACTCGCACAGATGCTGGGCCACGGCAGCCCCGCACCCGCAGGCCTCAGCACTCCTGCCGTTTCATGAGATCACCAGGTCGAGGGCCCCAAGTCAGAGTCAACGCTGGCACCGGAGCCTGTGTGCGGTGCATGTAAGCACTTATACCTGGGTGCGGAAGCTCGAGGTGTTTGAAATAAACATGGTATAGTCTTTCAGTTCAATGACACAACGAAAAGAAATACTGCATATATGATTCTTCTTGTTAAATAGAACAATAAAACAGAACTTCCTAGACAACCTATTGAATGGTAGAAAATATCTGCAAATCATGTATCTGATAAGGGGTTAATATTTAAAATACAAAAGGAACTCATACAAATCAATAGCAAAAAACCCAACCCTATTAAAAACTGGTCGCAAGGTCTGAACAGACGTTTTTCCAACAAAGACATACAGATGACTAACAGGTACGTGAAAAGATGCCCAATATCACCAACATCAGGGAAATGCATATCAAAACCACAATGAGATACCACTGCACACCTATCAGAAATAACAAGTTGGTGAGGATGTGAGCAAAAGGTACCAGTCATGCACTGTTTCTAGAAATGCAAATTGGTATAGCTACTATGCTAGTATGGAAGTTCCTCAGAAAATTAAAAATAAAACTACTATATGACCCAGCAATTCCATTTCTGGGTATTTATCCAAAGAAAATAAAAACACTAATTCAAAAGATACATGCAACCACATGTTCACGGCAGCATTATTTACAATAGTCAAGGCATGGAAACAACTTAAATGTCCATCAATGAATGAATGGATTAAAAAAGATGTGCTATACACACATCCAGAGGACTATTCTTCAACCATAAAAAAGAATAAAATCTTGCCATTTGCAGCAACACAGCATTATGTTAAGTCAGAGAGAAAAAAGATTAATACCATATCATCTCACTTACATGTGGAATCTAAAAAACAAAACGCAGAACAGGGCTCACAAATACAGAGAACAAAGTGGTGGTTGCCTGAGTGGGGTGGTGGGTGAAGGGAGTCAAAAGGAACACGTTTCCAGTTATAAAACCAGTAGGTCATGGGGGTGTAATATATAGCATGGTCCTTATTAGTTAAGAATGCTGTATTACATATTTGAAAGTATCTAGCAGAGTGGTTCTTCAAAAGTTCTCATCACAAGAAAAATATTTTGTTACTATGTATGGTGATGTTAACTGGACTTATTGTGGTATCATTTTCCAATATATACAAGTATCAAATCATTACATTATACACTTGAAACTAATATAATGTCAATTATACTTCAACGAAAAGTTTCCTAAAGAAATAAAAACAAACTTATTAAAAACAAATAAGCAATTAACAGTTCTATAATATGCTTGGCTATTGAAATATAGGTTTTAAAATGCTATTTCAAGTTGAAATAATGAGAAAACCACCCCAAGGACATTTGATGAATTCATACCTACAGCTGAAGGTCTGAAACTGACCTTGTACTTTAAACCTCAGTCCCAGGGGTCTGTGTTGTCCCACAGCCCACACCAAGGTATTTGAACATTCAGTTCCTGAAAAGTCTCCCCTGATGGTTCTTCACACAGATCTAATCCTCATGTAATTAAGTATTCAGCTCATTTTTATACACTTTATTGTGAGTGTACAGAAATCTGTAGAGGTAATTCCCCCCCTTAATTAAGAAATACTCACAGGGGGTTCAGCAAAAGGGACAGGTTCTCCAGCATTCTTCAGCAAAACTGCGTAACGTTTTAGAAACAGAGCATCCAATTTTATATTCTTTGCAGTTAAATTTTCATACAGTGTTTTAGCAGATGAGACATCATTGTCCAAGACTAAAGAAAAAGATATTAATCACAGATAAAGACAACCTGTCTTCCTCTTTTCCCAAAACACTTAGCTATTCTGGGACTCTTGTCTTCCTTCCTGGATCCCTTTATCCCAAGGCAAATGAACACTTAACCACCTTTAGAAAAAGCCACATTCAGAATCTACAAGCTCCCTCACTCCTTCCCACATCTCTCATTCACCATTATTCACTATGAAAGAGAAGGAAAATGACAAATATGACTATTTAAAAAAATCCAGGACTGTAAAAGTAACTACAAACTGAAGTCTTCAACCACAGAGTTAGCACACATCATTCAACTCTCTTCTGCTTAAAACCATACTTTAAAATCAAGCTAATTTAGGGATTGTTGTGGTGAGGGGCAGGTACATTACGCTGAATCTTTACCTACATCAATATCAAGATCATCAGCTAAACAACATCAAAAAGACTTTCAATACATTCTTCTGTTATAAAATAAGCAAATGTGAAGAATATAGTTAGCTACAATGACAAAAAATCCATACATAATCAATATACATAAAAAGCTTTATACAGCTAAATAATATTAACAAGTTATACTAATCTTTCACTTAAGTGGGTAACAGAATAGCCGAGGAGCTAGGTTTAGCTGGCTCTCTACTTAGGCTGATCTCTGGAAGTTTTCTTTTAATGTTTACACTAAGATTTATAGGGGCTCTGCTACTAACGGTTGGTAATTGTTAACATCTAAGTACCTAACAACCCCCTTACCTACAGTGATGCTCTATAACCAATCCCAACTGTAGCAGCAACAGGGGGAGCCTCAGGATGGATGTGAAAGTTTAGGAATCAATACAAGGATCTCCCAAAAGGGGCAAGGGTGGCTGACGCATAAGCTCTCACTGGGTCTGGGCAGATCTCCGCAAGCTGGGTGAACTCGATTCTGCGTCAGTCCTTCCCCACACGGCCAAGGGCTCACGCAAACACTCCGTCTTCAAGAAAGCTGCTCAGAAAAGGCTCCCATCTTCCCTTTCACCACTTCCTGGTCTCCCTGCCCTCTCCCTCCCAATTCCAAGTGGGATTACACAAGTTAGGAGTTTTATGCTGTTTGACCCTATTTCACGTTACTTAGTTACTATTTAATATCTGCCAATTCCCCAAATGAAACTTTGAGAAGACTTAAGATTCTAGCTCTGCTCTGAAATACATCATGTTCTCCTGACAAGGGTGGAACACTGGAGAACAAATTCACTAATTCTGATTGTAGTCTGTCGTCCTGCCAACAATAAAGTCAAAACAGCAATTCTTTATTTACCCCTTGCCTCAAGTGAGCACATCAGTGGTTGGCAGATGGTTAAGTGATCAAAACTTAGAAATGCTAACATTTATTTTGATTACTGAGGAAAATTTAGACTCGTTCCCTTTGATATGTGATGAGCAGGCAATCAGCGAACTGCTTAAAAGACTGGAATTTCAACTGTGACTTAAAGTAAAACTTTGGAGCCCACTTTTTAGTTAAAGGCTCATTATTTGAAAGGCCTACGTAGGCAGGGAGGGTACTGACGGAAGGAGCAAGATGGCAAGGCAAGGGAGAGTCTCAAGTATGTACCTATTTCATGTAATGCTTCAGGCAGCAGGGCCTTGGGCAGACTGGATTGGTTCCCAGTATGTAAACCCAAGTGGACTTTCAAGTTTTTCCAGGAGCCTGGAATCCTACTTGACACACCTGGGCCCCTCTGAAGATGCTGTGATACTTGTCTTATTTTAAAGTTATATGAATAATTTCATATTTTTCTTATAGTTTTAAAACATATTCTAAAGCTAAATAAATTATTTATATAATAATTATTTGATATTTAGGATTACTACCTTTGAGCTGAAGACTTAGTTGACTATATTACAACTATTTAAATCACAAATAATACAGTCAGATTTCACTTATTACCAAAGCATTTCATGATGGAAGTGTGTACTTCTTCCTTTTCAATTAATTCAGGAATCAATTCTAACAAAGATTTCAACGTTGGTGCCTAGGAAATTAAAAAATAGGTCAAAAGAACTATGAAATAGAACACTGACATATAGACATTATATATCACAAAATCTTGACAATAATTACAATAAAACTGCCTCTTCAATTTAATAGACTATTTTCCCTTCTGTACACAGACTGGGTTCAGTTCTAGACTACTGGAAGAAAGCAAGTATCATAATAAAGCAAGTCATATTTTTTCTTGCTACTGGAAGGTCTTGTTTAAATTTGTTATAAAAAAAAAAAAAAAAAAAAAGCAACATCTGTGAAGCGCCAATTAAGCAAAACACAATAAAATGACGTATGCCTGTATCTTAGTACTTGATGTTTTTCAAATTAACGCACTTCCATTTACATTTCCATGAATATTTTCCTAAAATATTTTAAAGATGGATTCTTTTATCAGTTGGTCACCATACTAAGAAAGTATGAGATCCCAAAGAATAGAAGAAATAATAACTGTATCTTTCAGTACCATTTTTTGGTGAAATGTGAAGAATTCAGCCAAACATTCTGAAGTTTTCCCTACTTGGAATATAAATAGAACATTTCTAGATCTCACTGAAAATTTTACTTGACTGCTTTCAGCTTTTAGTTCCTGTAGTGAATATAGAACTGCCATACCCCAGTGAATAATCACCGAATATTTCCAAACACTTCAATATTGTTGCATAAAGATGGATTTTATATAGTTTTATGCCCTGTTCCCATCTTACCAAAAGGAACTAACTCTGGCTTAATTACTCTCCTGTCAAACAGGCAGGCACTGTAACAGGAAGTTTTAAAAATCTGAAATCACTTTTTAACATTTTTATTCAGTCCATCTACACCTGGACCTGCATCTTGCAAGGATTCCCCGCGGTTCAAAGTCTCCAGGGAGGAATGTCCAAGCAGATACGTCACTGGACATTTCCCGTGCCATCGCATGGCCGAGGCAAAGAGGTACTTGACTTGGCATAGCCTTATATGTGAAGTGACAAGTGCTTTTGAGATTTCTTATACTTTCTAATCACAAACTTAATAAAATATAGTCTCTTTGAAAGGAAAAAAGAAAAACTAAATATTTTCAAAAAGTTATTTGTAAATAAATACATGAACCAGAGACTGAAATTGAAATTAGGTTAAAAAGCCCTGGCCAGTTTGGCTCAGCGGTTAGAGCGTCGGCCTGCGGTCCGGAGAGACCCGGGTTCGGTTCCCGCTAAGGGCACGTACTTCGGTTGCAGTTTGTCCCCGGCCCTGGTTGGTCGTGCGGGTGGCAGCCACTCGATGTGTCCCTTCACGTCGATGTTTCTCTCTCTCTCTCTCCCTTCCTCTCTCTTCCTCCCACTCTATCTGTACAAAAAATGGAAAAATATCCTCGGGTGAGGATAAAAAAAAAAAAAAAAAAAAAAAAAAAAAAAAAAAAAGAAATTAGGTTAAAAAAAAATATTTTTTTAAGTTTGTGTTTGTGTGTGGGAAGTATGTAGAAATTAAGGAAAAGAGGCCTCCCACACCAGCCAACCTAAATGTTTCACAATAAAACAAACATTCTAATTGGCACTCAGTTGGAAACTTCATAATGTGCCCAAATAAACTAAGAATGGGGTTCCTGGTGTTCAACAGGTAAAATCAGATCTAAATAATTTTTTTTTTTTTAAGAAATACACTTATATTCTTTTTTTGTCTTAATTAGATATAGGATTGGTTCTGTTTTACGCACCACACATGCATCCTTTGGGAACATGAATTTCTGGTACACACCAGTTTTAAGGCCAAATGGCTAACCTACTGATGGTTCACACCTGAAAAATGGTCAAAAATAACCACGTGATGTGAGGAGTGCTTGTCACACTGTTAACAGGTACAGTGACCTAAGCAACAGGATTTTTATCTTCCATTTCTTGGGGCCCTTTCTTGGAGCTCTTACTGTATAACCATGCGCAGGAAGCACTCAGCATAAACTTGTTTTGCATTTCCAGTACACCTAAGGAGACTTTCTATCAACATTTAAAAATGTAGACAAGTATACACAAGTCAAGTCTTCAATCTCTACAGTGTTTTTAGATCAGGCCTGAAGCAACAAGCTCTGAAGTGATCCTCATACGTTTGAACAAGACTGGCTTATAGCTTCATGGATTTGTCACAGATTAAGCACGGTACCTTTCCTGGTGTCCGAGTACTCCTCATACAGAATGCCACGAAAATTGGGGTTTGTTCAGCAATTGCACCACATCTCTAAAAATTGAAATGTTGTTCAGTAAGTGAAGGTTTCTGATAAACAAGCAGATCAAAGTGAGTATTTCCAATTAAGAAAGTTCATAATAATACAGTAATGTATCATTACTAATAGGAGGGCATAGTAGTCGACCAATTTTTTAAGGCAAGAAAAAAGAAAATAAGTGCAAGCTATGTCAAGCTTTTGTGAATGCTGTCCTTGGCAATGGCAAGTATAAAGTTTGTTTAAAAAGACAAGGGAAAAATTAAACTAATGTTTCAACAACCACAGAATAAGGTTTAGGACTGCAAAGAAAGAGGAAAAAAAGAAACACTATTCCTCTCCAATTATACTGCCAAGCATTCACAAGTGAGCTAGGGATCATAAGGTTAATTATACATTTAATAAGGTGTCAGGGAGATAACTGCTCGTTTCTTTATAAAAATTAAAATGTACAAAGCAAGTTCTCTTTAAAGTATAATTACCTACACTTATGCATACAAAAGGACTGATTTCAATCTCTCTATTTTATAAAAGGCTTTCATTGCAACAGACAGCCAGTGCTTGAGAAAGAGACAAAAGTTAAACTAAAAAAAAAAAAAGTTTATATGACAGACCAGATAAATCAAGTGTCTATCCAATCTTAGATGCTATAGTAAAATCAAATATGGCAAGACAATATTTTAGTTTACACTCTTTGTAGATGTCATTCCTTAAGTTTCTAAAAGCACATTTCTCTTTCAAAGCTTTAAAACATTGTCAATACTAAAACGAATAGTATAAAAAGAACTTTTGGGGACACACAGAACATTTACATTATAAACTGATGTTTTCGACATCTGTGAATAAAGTATTCATTCTTCAGCACAGCAAGAATAATCTTTGACTGTTTGACAAGCAGGTAAAGGGTGGGTAAAGGCTTTATCATTTGAAACCTCAGTCTACTGAAGGTATGAAAATAAAAAGACTGCTGCTGCACCAACACTCAGTGGTCACCAAGAGCCGCCAGACAGGCGGCTGTGGCTGAATGCAGCCGGGAGGGCAGCAGGCAACACCCCTGTCGTCTCCCATCCTCGGTGTTGTCAGTTGTGCTAAGAGCCTTGAAAGATTCCAGCTCAGAACAAGTTGGTAGAGGACAAGTGCCACCTTTCTAAAGAACCATCAAAATGTGTTAAAATTGAACAAATACCACCACACGTATATAATTAGATATGTATATGCCCCTGGTAGGTACATTTAGAAATGTACACACAAAGATAAAGCATCAGAGTTTATTTCTTTCAAGACAACCTGAAACACTAAAGGCAGGAAGATAAAAAAAAATTCCTGAAATCCCTATTATAAACTGCCTTTTCTCTGTGTGTGTGGTATGTGTATGTGTGTGTTTAAAGGTAAAGAAACCAAACCAAACAATAAAATTTCCAATTACCCGGAATTTCTCTCTGGCCAGAAAACAAAAGTACAAAAGCCTTAGGGGCAGTAGCAATTTATATGTTTTACAAAATTGTTAACGGAGATATTTCTCAAACATGCCTGTTAAAAATGGCTCGGATTCTACTGTCAAACTAGATAAACTTTAAGGATCAAAACTAGAGCTCAGGCAAATGGGTAGTTTTATCATCCCTAGCTACCACTTACAATCTTTTGCTGCTCATAAAAATGTAAGTGAATATAATACTATTTACTATAAGAAACTGGTCCCAGATCTCAATTTGACACAGGGAGTCTACACAAACACAGCCGTTGGCAGGATCACGGTGACTGTTTGACTGCCACCTGCTGGGAAGGGGCCCCCAGTGGTGCCTGTTTGTGTACACTGCCAGTGGCAGCTCTGATCACCCACCGTTCGGCACTTGGAGCAGCTTTATATTTAGTGCTGTTAAAATAGCATGAATGCAGATGCCTTCTTCCCTGAAGATTGCTAATTTAACTGAGAGTGCGGGCCACAGAGACCTGCATTAGTCATTTAATGTGTCTGTGACACACAAGTGAATAGAAAGCAAATTCAACTCTTAATAAACCTTGAAAAAGGCACTGAAAATGTTTTTCAGTATTCAAGTGGGAAGCTGTACTTGAAAAGCAAACATTTCCTACTTTTTGTTTGCAAACTGTGTTGCCATGGTGATGCACAGTATTTATAGCATTAGAGAAATTAAAGTAGGAAATCAAAGGAATTGTTTTTGTGTTACCTATCTGCACAGAAACATTTATCTTTTTTTTTTTTTCAGAAACATTTATCTTTAAATCATTTCAGCAAACTAAGTCTTCCCTCTTCCTCCACCCCCTTAAATCTAAGGACATTTCTAGTCTGATCTGGCATGTTTAAAATCTGCAACCTACAATTTATTATCCAGTCCTTATCATGTAACCTTGATTTACAATGAACTTAAATGCGCTAGCAGCCACACACTTCAGTTCTAATGGTCTACCGCACACTTATGTCAAGTACTTTCTCAATGTACTTCTCACAAGCCACCAGCCCCACTGCTCCGTGTGTGGTGGGCCATTACCTGTAGGAGAGCTCTGGCATCATCCACCTTGCCCGAATCCACAAGCTGAAGAAAAAGGTCGGTAACGGGTTTGTATACTGCAAACTGATTGGCCAATCTCTCTGCCATGATGCTCACTGAAAAATGACAGGTAAGAAAATTTTTTTGTTTAAACCATCCACCAAAGAAATCTGGTCCAGTCTCAATAGAGAGAAAATGTGCTTCTGTTTTTATAGCTAACTTACTCTTTTCAAGTGCTGGTTCCAACCGTTCCTCTATTACTTTTCTGAATAAGTACGCCAAGCCAAAGTAGTGGGTTTCCGTGGTTTGATTCCCTGAAGTAAGCATATTTTCAATGTTTTCTATTGCAACATCTACGTTATTGCTGCAAAAGAAAGTAAATTATAAAGAAATGTTTGCTCTTGTATTAATATTGCAGGCAGTTTTCACATGAGAACTTACTTTGGGATTCACATATGCAAATGCTTTAGGATAAAAAGGAGATACAGTCACAATTAACCAGATAAAAAACACTATGTAAGTTGAACCCAACCACACTTAGGTAGCAAGAGCAATCATTAGGTGGTTTATGCTATAATAACTGAAGTAGTTGTTCATATGAAAACACTGCTCTACAAATAAAATCAAACTACTATAATATGAGAAGCATTAATGAGGATAACAAAAGACAATGAATCTTAAATATTTAATTTGATTTTGTAGCTCTTTAATGTAAAATAAAAACTTGTGTAAGTGCTACAACTTTGGCTTTATAATCTATAGTGGTTGCTACTGTATGAAGTAAAGATATGTACCACCCAACCAGTGTAGCTCAGTGGATTAAGAGACGTCCCATGGACTGAGAAGTCCTGGTTGGATTCCCAGTCAGGGCACATGCCTGGGTTGTGGGCTCGATCCCTAGTGGCAGGGGGATGTGCAGGAGGTGGCCGATGGATGTTTCTCTCTCACATTGATGCTTCTATCTCTCCCTCCCTTCCTCTCTCTAAAAAGATCAATAATAACACCTTAAAAAAAAAAAAAAAAGATACTATGTACCATCTCAGGAATCTTAAAGATGCTGATGATGTTTTTAAAAGGTGTATTTTCAAGTCTCTCAACCCACAGATAGTCACAAAAATTTTTTTTCTGTCAGGTATTATAGAAAATTTTAAAAATATTTAATTTATACTAAAATTCTCAGAAAATGTATCTTCACATTTTACATTAAAAAGTCAATTACATGGCCTTATTTAACAAGTTATCATAAAAATTATCTTTATGACTTTCTGGTTAAGGTACTCTTTAGTTGCTACTTTACAGTTATGGCACTCCAAATCAAAATAATCAATTTTATGTTGAAGTTATTACCTAAAACAAAAGAATTCTCTAACTAAAAATGAACACCCCATTATAATACATTTTTCTTATGGGTTTTAGTTAGAAAAATTATTCACTAGTGAATAACAACATATTCTTGACATCATATAAAACTGTATTTATATGATAACATTTAAAAATTCATCTGTTCTTGCCCTGGCCAGTTGGCTCAGCAGTTAGAGAGTAGGCCCACAGACCAGAGAGTCTTGTGCTTGATTCTGACCAACGGCACTTACCTTGGTTGTGGTTTGGTCCTGGTTGGGGTTGTTTGAGAGGCAATCAATCGGTGTGTCTCTCTCACATCGATGTTTCTCTCTCTTCCTCTATCTCTCTCCCTCTCTCCCACTCTATCTGAAAATCAATGGAAAAATATCCTTGGATGAGGATAAAAAAAAAAAAAAAATTCATCTGCTCTTGCCTGGCCTGTGTGCCTCAGTGGACTGAGTGATAATCTCATGCACCAAGAGGTCACTAGTTCAATTTCTGCCTGGGTTGCGGGCTCGATCCCCAAGAGGGGGTGTGCAGGAGGCAGCCAATTGATGTTTCTCACATCAATGTTTTTCCCTCTCTCTCCCCCCTCTCACTCTTATCTGAAGATAAATTCCTTGGGTAAGGATTTTTAAAAAAGGGTATGTAAGATTAATTATTAAAGATCATTTTTTTCTAAAGGCCTGAAGGGGTTAATTTCATAATCATTCCCCATGAATCATTAACTTGAGCAAAGTTTATAAAAATCAAGTTTTTATGTCCTTCTACAGGGGTGATTCTCCACAAGGAATCTAGAGATGGTGGTAAGAAGCATCACCTCTAAATACCTCCCTTTTTGTGGGTGCGTGATGACAGGAGTGGATGGTAGGAGGATGGAGAAAACAGAAATTCCTGTTTCTAACAAGCTTGCTGGGCCCTCTGTTTCACAATGTTCTAGTGTTACTCTCAGTGTTGCTGACAACCAATGAACTTACTTTTCACTTCAGTAGCAAAGTGTTTCCACATCAAGGGCCTGGCCCATATGAACGAGAACAGTTACCAACTGTGAAACAAATTTTACGAATTTAAAAAATTTGGTATATGTTCTTCATTCTAAGATTTAATTCAAACCTAACACACATTTTGTAACATATAATTATTCCTTAGTAGTTACAGAGTAAAGCAACTGGCATCAATATTCCCTCTGTAGTTGATATGGTTTCTAATAGCTTTAAAAAGTTTAGAGATAATGCTCCTTCCAGTAGCCAATGAAGAAAAAGAAAGCTTGAAAATACTCACTTCTTTATTTGTGCCAAAGCAATGTTATTGATGAAAACCATATTTGAAAGTCCAATTGAATCTTCGAGTCCATTTACCATCTTCTGAATTGCTTGTATGCTTTCTAAATCACCCTTCAAAGCACATGCCTGAATCAGGCGGGTCACTGCTATCCTAGAAGGTGTCTGCTTCAGATCCAAGGCCATCTTTAGTGCTGTTAGAGCCTCTACAATAGAAAAGTAGGTGACAAGAGTTTTTCTTATATGAATCATTCTCACTTTAATGCACTTTGAAAACCAGCTTTTAAATACAAATGTCAAATGGCTGTAGACAAAAAGCTATGAATAATTTATTCTAGATTACAGAAAATATTGATACTTTATAAGAAACCTAAAACATAATAATTTATTTGACTACCTATAAGATATCAGAGACCAGAGAAATGTCTTAAGTCACAGAAAATACAAATGTATTGAAAGAATGTGGGTACCATCTGGGAAAAAACATTTAGTGACTAATTTCAAGGAAGCTGACAAGTTCAGAGGAATAAATATAAGAATTTTAAAATTAAAGACCTGCCAAAAATACATAACTTCTACTAAAATTTATACTTTCCCAGACTTTATCATACTCAGAGATTACATGATTATCAAAATCATCTAATATTCCAGAGATTCTTTATTGAAAACAATGTCTTTTTTTAGTCCAAACAGGATCAATCACACAAAAGCAGCCAAACTGGAACATTCAACTTTCACACTAACAAATTTTACATGATTAAGTAATACCTTGCAGACATTTTCTTTCACTCATTTAAAAAGCTCACCAGATTCCCATGGATATAGGTACAGGAAGTATTTTTGTTTTGTTTTTTAAAGTATCATACTTACAAGTACCTGATTATGGATAAATTTGGAATAGCCTTCTGACTTATTGACTCATGTGCAAGTGTAGTGAAATTATTATATTAAGTGAAGTGGTGGACTGAGAAAATGTAATACTTAGCATAACAATTACCAGTACTGCTACCAAAGAAAAGTTCATGACTGTATAGCAATGAAAGCAATGCAACCTAGACAAAACTAAGACTCTCAAAGCAGCTTCCCAAAAAAGGAGAGCCTATTTTTTCACAGAAGAATGATAATAATTAAAGTCTAATAAAAGTAATATGGTGAAAGACAATTAATTCAGCATTTATTACTGAATAAACAATTTATAATAACCCCAAATCTATAAGAAGGGAAAAGAGGAAATAGGTAGTTTAAAAGGCATATTCAATAAAACTTTATGAATACATACATATAGGAAACAAAAAATGTTATTAATATAATTTACAGAAAATAAGCTTGATTAAATTTTCTTAACTGGGGGTCATACACAGATAATCAACTTCAGAATATTATTAACCGAAATATTGTCAGCTAGGGAGGATTTTCCCACCAGTGAATCAAAATAATAACAAGAATAGATAATGAGCCCTGGCCGGTTTGGCTCAGCGGTTAGAGCATCGGTCTGCGGTCCCAAGAGACCCGGGTTCGGTTCCCGCTAAGGGCATGTACTTGGGTTGCAGTTTGTCCCCGGCTCTGCTTGGGTCGTGCGGGTGGCAGCCACTCGATGTGTCCCTTTCACATCGATGTTTCTCTCTCTCTCCCTCCCACTCTATCTGAATAAAAATGGAAAAATGTCCTCGGATGAGGATTAAAAAAAAAAAAAGTTTAAAAAAAAAAAAAAAAGAATAGATAATGATGGTGATGATAGCAACTAGCATTTATTGAGTTTTAACTGCATTCATTGAGCGTTTACTACATGTCAGGCACAGTAGTAAGCAATTTATAGTCACATCTACCCAAGCACTAACTTTATAGGTGAGAAACAGAGGCACAGAGAGTTTAAGAATTTGGCCCTGGCCGGTTTGGCTCAGCGGTTAGACCGTCGGCCTGCGGTCCGGAGAGACCCGGGTTCGGTTCCCGCTAAGGGCACGTACCTCGGTTGCAGTTTGTCCCCGGCCCTGGTTGGTCATGCAGGTGGCAGCCACTCGATGTGTCCCTTTCACATCAATGTTTCTCTCTCTCTCTCTCTCCCTTCTGCTCTATCTGAACAAAGAATGAAAAAGTGTCCTCGGGTGAGGATAAAAAAAAAAAAAGAATTTGCCCAAGGTCATATTGCTAGACTCTTAACTCAAGAATCTAACCACCCCAGAGTCTGCATCAATGGGTGCATGTGTGCATGAAAGAGGAGAGGATCGAGGAGAATAGATCATATTATGTCTATCCAAAAGGAGCATGGGACCTTAGAACCTAAATCATATTCCCAGGACCTGCCTTCTCTACAGTTTATGACTTAAGGGATAATAAAATCTAGTATCCATCCACACTCCTCCCCTCCACAATCTTTTTCATTCTCTTAGCTCATTTACTAGTCATACTGATTTCATTGCAAAGGCAACATGTATCAACTTATTAATATTCCAGAACAGTATTAGCTTATAAAATTATATTAAAATTGGACTGGCTTTATTTTTCTACCTGCTTTAGATGGGATGAGAAAAAGAAACCTGAAAATTGGGAGCTCAACCATAGAGCAAAATAAGGACATGGGGACAGTGCCAACACCATGCCCATCCTCACTGATGATCATTTTATTTTTATTTATTTTTTTATCGTCACCCGAGGACATTTTTCCATTTTTTGTTCAGATCAAGTGGGGGGGGGGGGGGAGAGAAGAGAGAGAGAGAGAGAGAGAGAAACATTGACGGGAAAGGGACACATCGAGTGGGCCACCTCCCACCCCAACCAGGGCCGGGAACAAACTGCAACCAAGGCACGTGCCCTCAGTGGGAAACAAACCTGAGTCTCTCTGGACCACAGGGCGACGCTCTAACCACTGAGCAAAACTGGCCAGGGCTCGATGATAATTTTAACAATCATTTATGGCGAGGCACATGAGGTGGTGTGTATGTGTGGGGAGGGGGAGGTGGTAGTGGGGGAACATGGCTCCTGCTCTCAGCCAACCTCCAGTTGAACTGAATAGCTGAGAAAATGTGAAAATTACATTACAAAATTTCTTGTAGTTTTTCCAGAGTACTTAACATATAAGTAGAGAGTAGTAATCAAATTAAAACAAATTCAGATTCAAATAAAAAATTAATCCCGAGCCCAGCTGGTGTGGCTCAGTGGACTGAGCATCGTCCCATGCACCAACAGGTCACCAGTTCGATTCCCGGTCAGGGCACATGCTCGGGTTTCGGGCTGGATTCCCAGTGGGGGACATGCAGGAGGCGGCTGATACATGTTTCTCATCAATGTTTCTATTTCTCTCTCCCTCTCCCTTCCTCTCTAAAATAATCAATAAAAAAACATATTTAAAAAAATTAACCCCCTGAAATTAAAAAACTATTTTATTCTTATCTTCATGTCTACAGATATATTTAACCTAAAATACCAATTTGACAGAAAGCCTTTTTTGAAAATAAAATGAAAGCTTTAAAAATATTAATAACAAGCCCCACATCACTCAATTGTGACTTGAGACTGTCCAAAAAGGCTATCTAAAAAGGCTGCCTGTGGAATGATGAGGTGAAAATCTTGCAAAGGGAGAAATCATCACTTACATCGTCTGTCCTAATCAATCAAGCTGACATCTAAAGACCAACACATTCAGGTATACAGGCAGCATTAAAGTTGCACAATTAGATAGCAACTTTCTCTGAGGGATGTGACATTATTTAACAAACATACAAGTGAGGTATTACAGACTAAGGAAGAAATAGGTATAACATGTTGAACAGTTAAAGAGCTTTTTTCAACCGTCCTTAAAGATTTCCTAAGTGGGTTTTGTTGTACTGGCAAAACTATGGTGTTACTGCACTGACTACAAATCAAATGTAAACCTAAATGTGAAAAGATGCTTACCTAAATTTAAGATTCATTATTTTTCCCCTCGGGAGCTCATTCATAAAATCTCCAAATCCAAACCCATTTCTCTGCAAACCAATAAACAGTTTCTACCAAACAAATGGCCCCATTCCAATCCTCTCCAAAGTCATCACCACAGAATTATATAATCACCAAAGTCATCTTTCTAGTATTATACTCTTAATATTAATTTAAAAACTCTAAATTCCAAACTCCAAACAAACAATGCATTTTATTGTTGTTGGTATTACGAACTATTAAAAAAGTATTAGATTAAGTTTTAAAAATCAATATTATAATCATTTGGTGCACAATCCCACACATTTAACACTCAATTTAACTCATTTGCTATCTCACACACAACCAACACAATATGCAGGAAACAACTGCTGGGAATTGTTTCAGATGCTCTAAAGTATGTTAATTTCCAAAGCAAAGTGACTTGTGCTGTGAATTTTAACGTACTTGAAAGCCTGTACTTTCTCTCGTTCTGGAACACAAATTTTGCATGTCTGAAGAGCTGTGATTCATCTTAAGAAAACCCATCTTGTGTTAAATGGAATGGAAACTGGACTAAGTGGTCAAATGACAAGTACATTCATATTCAAGCTGTATTATAAATGCATGTACAGTAATTTACGTCTCTCAGCTACCACAAAAGGCTCTTGATAAGCAGGTAATTTGCTAAATGGACTCCTTTATCCAAGTATTCGAAGGGCGTTACAAGAAAAATCTGCAGAGGCATTAATGTGACGTAAAGGTCAAGCATTGTGACATACCTTTCAAATAATCCCGCCTAACTTGCGTTATGATGAGGAGGCTGTTGGCAGCATCGTTCAGTGTGAAGCCCTTGATGTGGGTCTCAGCGCTAAAAGAAGCAGACATTTAGAAAGGAATTACTGACATGCTTCTGATACGATAATAAATGGTTGAGCACCAAGGTGAAATTATAAAAACTACTGTTCGTATGTTAAAAATATTGCTGCAAAATATCGACCTGGAGACAGCTTTTGTGTTATCCTGTCAATGGTTATAGAAGGATAATTTTTTTTTGCATTCTGACAGATGACAAAGTTGGAAATGAGCAACAAAAGAAACAAAGTACAAGATTTTTTTTAAACAATCGGTTCAGATTCTTGAATGCTGACATATTAGATGACTAAAATAACTGCATGCCCTGCATTGTTCTGCTGTATCCTAAGCTGGATCCTTTTTCCTCTTTTTTCTACATTCACCATAATTATAAAATGCAAAACTATTCTTTCGGAAACAAAAATGAACACTTATTTTCAGCACTGTATATTTTAAATATAAACTAAAGCATATTACTAACTAACCCCGTATCATTTGGTTGATTAATTTTCAAATTTCTGTCATCTAGATACATACAGTTTTTAAAGGTGAACATACTGTAGAACTAAAACCGTTGTTACATTAAAATTTAAAACTTTACACAACCATCTTGTCTTGGACTTAAATTTAAAACAAAACCCCCCAACTTTTTAAAACTCAAGAGCAAATAATTGCTTTACTTATGACTAAAACCTACATGATTAAATTAACAAAACAAAACCCTAGTCATCTGCGTGCCACATTTTTTGCACATCTCCTGTGATGAAATTTCAGGATCCCCAGGGTTCATCTTCCGATTAGGAAATCTCCACAGGTCAAAAAGAGCAAAAGCAATTGCTGCCAGTTGCCTTATCAAGCTCAGTGATGATCTTGCTGCCAACAACCTCAGCCTGCCAACATGAACATCTAAGCTGGGAAGATTTGGAGAACAGCAGGGTCACTGCTAAATTATTCTCGTCAATCCCAAGAAAATCCTCCAAAGACACGGTTATATGCCCATCCTCTGTCACTTCCAGCCTCTGAGGTTCACCCCTGCAGGCCCCGGGAGCAGGATTTTCTTATCCCCCAACCGATCCTCTTAATCCCACCAAAGCACCCATTGCTCAGTTCGACTTTTTTTCTTTGTACCATCTGTCAAAGCTCTTAAGTCAACAGCTCCTGCAGGAGACTATAAACTGCCTAAAATAAAGGATTTACTTTCTCAATCTTTAGGGTGATTAAATAAACAGTAGACATTTTTTAAATTAAGCTCACTTCTTATGCTAACATTATTACATGTATTATACTATATTAACTTGAAAATATTACCTAAAATTTATTGAAACTATGAGGTAACAAAACTTCTCTTTTAACTGACATCAAGTGTGAACTATAAACCTTTCGAATACCTCGAAACACAGAACATTTTCTTTCCCACCTTAGGAAACTGCCTATTCAATGCAAATATAAAAGTGAGATAAATAGGAAGACAAAAGCTCTCTCGAGTTCTAGTATATACTGAACACTCAATATCTTACATATGTAGAACTGATCAATCACGTCCAACATATATTCCAAACTGGCAAAAGGAAAAAAACTACAGAAAACTACTTTGTGTTGACTCCTTCAAACAAAGTAAAAGAAGTTTACTTCTGACCCATGATTTCGATCTTTCCTTTTGGAAAAAATCTAGTCCAGGGCTGTCAAATCAAACTTCCTATGATGATGGGATTATCCTTTATCCATGTTATCCAATAGGGCAGCTACTAGCCATATATGCCTATATGTGATAGAGGAATGGGAATAATTCTATTTAATTGTAATTAATTTACATTTAAACAAGCACATATGGCTATAGTGGCTACTGGATTGAACAAAACAATTCTAGTCATTTTCTTTTCATTTTTAGAACTGCTATAATAAAGGAAATAACTACAAAGGATAAGGGTATTAATCTTTTAACTTACAATCAACTGCAAAAATTAATCTGTCTTAACCAAAGAAAGTATTGTAGGGAGAGTTTCACCTTAGAGATTTCAGTGTAATAACAGGTTTGTGGATTGTACTTACATAACATGAACATAGAATATTAGTTGGTGATCATAATTTATCTTACTTTGGATAACAAAAACTGGTTGACCCAGGAAAAACCAACAGTGATTGATTTAGCATTATTTCTAGATAGAATGAAATAAGAAGCTGGCAGGAAACAAGAGAAAAACAAAGTACTATTCTTTATCTTGAAAGATAAAGTAGTGCTATTGTTGCGTGATTCTCAAATTTCCTAAGAATACAGTTTTGTGTTATCAGAGATTTTATTTTACTTTTATTGATTTTTAAAATATTGATTAGAGAGAGAGAGAGATCGATCGACTGGTCAACTTGTTGTTCCATTCATTTATGCATTAATTAGATGATTCTTGTATGTGCCCTGACTAGATCTAAAACCTTGGTATACAGGGATGATACTTAAACCAACTGAGCCATCTGGCCAGGGCCATCAGACATTTTTTTTTAATCCTCACCCAAGGACATTTTTCCTTTTTTTTGTTCAGATAGAGTGGGAGGGAGAGAGAGGAAGAGGAAGAGAGGAAGAGAGGAAGAGAGAGAGAGAGAGAGAGAGAGAGAGAGAGAGAGAGAGAGAAACATCAACGTGAAAGGTACACATCAAGTGGCTGCCACCCGCACGACCAACCAGGGCCGGGGACAAACTGCAACTGAGGTACGTGCCCTTAGCAGGAACCGAACCTGGGTCTCTCTGGACCGCAGGCCGACGCTCTAACCGCTGAGCCAAACTGGCCAGGGCCCATTAGAGATTTTAAACAATAATTTATATCCCTTACTGTTCTTTGAATAAACAGTTCCACTCCCTTGAAATAGTTCATTATACCTAAGGTTTTATTTTGAAATATAAAGAAACCTTGTAATTCTAACTAAAAATGAAAAATGTTGGTTTCTTTAAAAGTTTTTAAACACAGCTCTTACTGTTACTTTTAAGGTTCTATTACTAGTTGGGAAGGTTAAATGACCTTGTTAATAAAATTAAAGAAATCTTATTAGAAGTCAAGTAAAAATGCAACACATTATGGACAGCAAAAGTATAGCAAAATCAAAGACTGAACTTTTTAGTTCATAGGAAAAACCACTGCTCCAAGACTGAACAAGAGGCATTGTGTAGGTAATTATAACAGACTGCTATTTATTATCTGAGAGTAACAGCACCTAATACCAAGGGCTACTGCTTCTTGCTACAGTGGCTGATTTGGTTATACCATGTTATAATAAAGACGCCTATAAATCAAAGCAACAATTCCTTCCTTCCTTCCTTCCTTCCTTCCTTCCTTCCTTCCTTCCTTCCTTCCTTCCTTCCTTCCTTCCTTCCTTCCAGAGAGAAGAAGGGAGAGAGAGATAGAAACATGGATGTGAGAGAGATACACTGATCAGCTGCCTCCTGCATGTCCCCCCACTGGGGATAGAACCCAAAACCCGGGCATGTGCCCTGACCGGGAATCAAACTGGGACTTCTCAGTCCATAGGACAACACTCAATCCACTGAGCCACACTGGCCGGGCAACAATTCTTTTCTACTCTGATCATGGATATAGAGCTGGAAGGGGAGATAACCTGGTCGCATTTTGTCAATGAACCAGGAAATGAATCTAGAGAAGTTACATAACATTCCTTCAGTAACAGTTAATTAGCTGAAGAACTAGAACTAAAACTTCTACTTCTCAGTTTCCAGTCCAGAGTTATTTTCAAAAATACTCAATGTAGACCTAACCCACAATACATTTCTTCAGAGTCAAATATCACATTTTATTGGTTCAAGGGATAGAACATGCAACCAATCCCAGATCAGGCAGTTGTGTAAAGTGGAATACTGTGTAATACTAAGATAATAGTGACCCCAAGAGTATAGAAAGGCTTCACAAAGATCTAGAGAGAGAAGAAAGGAAAGAAGATAAACTTACATTTTACAGGTTGTGGATATGAGGGGAAACAGAAGGGCTATATTATAACCATCTTCTAGGTCAGCAGCTGGCATAACTTGTTTGATCAAGACTCCGTCAGACATAGTAAGAAATAATGTTTTTACACTACATACCAGTGCACAGATACGTAAATACACATATAATTGAAATAAAACTTTCACAAAAAATTTTCAGTAAAGTGCTTTGATATTTTCTATTCTATTTCTTTTTTTATTCCTCACCTGAGGATATTTTTCCACCTATTATCAGGTAGAGTGGGAGGAAGGGAGGGAGGGAGGGAAAAAGAGACAGAGATTGATGTGATAAGAGCCACAACGACTGGTTGCCTCCCTCACGACCTGATCAGGGCTGGGGACGAACAGCAACCAGAATCGAACCCGCGACTCATTAGTCCGCAGGTTGACACTCTAACCACTGAGCAAAACTAGCCAGGGCTCTACTTCATTTTTTAAAATGTTGATTTTCTCCCACTAAATAGACTCCATGGCCAAGTAATTGGTTACAGCTGCAGTTTGAAAAACTAGTCAAGCCCTGGCCGGTTTGGCTCAGCGGTTAGAGCGTCTGCCTGCGGTCCGGAGAGACCCGGGTTCGGTTCCCGCTAGGGGCATGTGCCTCGGTTGCAGTTTGTCCCCGGCCCTGGTTGGTCGTGCAGGTGGCAGCCACTCGATGTGTTCCTTTCACGTCGATGTTTCTCTCTCTCTCTCTTCCTCTCTCTCCCTCCCACTCTGTCTGTGCAAAAAGTGGGAAAATGTCCTCGGGTGAGGATTTAAAAAAAAAAAAAAAAAAAAATCATCAAAATAAAATTGTACAAAAAAAAAAAAAAAGAAAAACTAGTCAAGCCCAGCTGGTGTGGCTCAGTCAGTTGAATATCATGTTGTCCCATGCACATTCCTGGGTTTTGGGCTTGATCCCCAGAAGGGGGTGTGCCAAAGGCAGTCGATCGATGATTCTATTTCTCCCTTTCCCTTCTTTTCTCTCTAAAAAAATCAATAAAAACATTTTTAAAAAAGAAAGAAAACCTACTTGAGATCAGTGGTCTTCAATGAAAGGTATGCACTGTGTGAATGCTCTAGGGTGAGGTAAGAAAATGTTTAACCCTTTAAATCTTATCCTCTGAAAACCTTTTTTTTTTTTTAAGTGTTTTATAATAGACTTACATGTGAGACATTAGTACAATTCATTATGAATGGTATGTGATCAAAATGTTAATGACATGATTCCTGAATCACCTGGGTGTTTTGGTAAAGTGCAGATTCCTTATTCGTGAATCAGAACCTTTGGCTGGAGGGAATCTTTTTATGCTACCAGAATGGGAGGCTCATCACCCTAGAACAAGCCCAGTTGAAATAAAAAAATTATAATCTGTGCTTTTGGAAAGTATTTTAGAGGTTTTTGAAACCAATCTCAGGATTAAAAGTTTTAAAAAGTTTTTCTTCTTTGCTTCTATCCCCTCATTTATTAATACCCACTTTTCAACACAAAATACTCCTTTTTCCTATCTCCCCTCCCTCCCAAATCACTGTTGCTTCAGAACGCCTTTGATTATAATGGGTAGTGTTGGGAGAGAGCTTAGATAAGAATTTTCTGAGAAAACTAATTTTAGGAAAAAACCTACACCCCCTTGATGACTTCAATGGTTACAGATGACAGGATGCTGTTCACTGTCAAATTTTCCAAGTCACTAATTGAGGATACAGTGAGTATTCTAGAAATAGGTCATTTAATTAGCGACTGAGTAAACACACAAGGGAGACACAGGAATACTAAAAACCTAAACTTAAAAGTCTTAGTGTGACTGTCCTATATCAACACACAAATGATGATTCAAGACCATAGTTATATATGATGTGTATATATACATATAGGCCCATATATAGTACTTGTACATATCCACATACTGTACATATATGTATTTATATGAATATATATTTCCACAGACAGTACAGTCATACACAATACATTTTTCAAAATGCGCTGAAACACAACAGTAAATGTGGCCACATAGCGCATAACTTTAACATAACACTAGTATTAACATCAGGTTTTCCAGCAAACTGCAAGAATGGCAAGCATCTGTTTTCTATTCCAGATTCTAATATTACAAAAGTGCTGGGACAAAAAATTCGAAGGCTTAAAATATGTGTGTGAGAAGGTGAAGTGAAGCAACTGCAGCAAATGTTAACATTTGGTGAACTGAAGGGTTTATAGGTGTTAACTAGGAATCTTGCAACTTTTCTGTAGATAAAAAAAATTTCAAATTAAAATTCTTGGGGAAAAATTTAAAGGCCAAATATTAGCAACAGAGATTATTTCAGAACTCCCAATATACTACAAAAGGCTGACCTTTGCCACTGAAAATAAAGCTACTGACTCCCCAACAGGACAGGTCAACATTCCAGAGCAGGAGACCTCAATCTACTCTTTTCCAGGGCCCTTTCTGATTAGCAACTCAACTGTTCAAGATAACTCCTTGAGGATAAGACAATAGAGTCAGTTAACTGACACATCAGGTATAAAAACTTAACCCTTGTTCTGATTAATAAAGTACTTTAGGGAACTAGCCAGAGACAAAACCACTACCACCACCAATACCAACATTACCAAACAGACTAAAAATCAAACAAAAACCACAATATAAAAAAAAAGGTATTTAAAATGTGTTGAGTACCTATATTTTCTTTACTTCCCTCTATATCTCTTTCAATATCTAGAAGACATCTTTAATGTAAATATGATCATCCATTCATCATAGAAGAAAAACTGAGACTCAGATTAGGAGGTGATTTTCCCCAAGGTCATAGAGCTTTCAAGTAAGATTCAAACCCTTCATTGTATCAGGCTGCTCCTACCACAAAAGGTACATGGATCTAGCTGCTGAACAAGAAACAGAATATGATAAAAATTATTTTTCTGTATCTGGATACCCATAATGAGTTATAAGGTTACATAAGTTAAATAAAAGGTACTACACTGTGCAGGGCCAGAAAAGGTTATTTATTTTATAGGTTTAAAAAACCCCATACAATTAGAAAACAATTTCATATGATTTTTGTGGGTAGTAACTGCTATTACAACACGTCATTAGAAAAATCTTTAATAACAGATGATATTTCTTTAGGTGAGAGGTTTAACAAATGGATTAATACTTACAAATCTTTCACTTGCATTGCTTGTGTAAAGTTATCCTTCAACAGTAATTTTATAAGACTGTTGTAAGTTTCACTGTTAAACACAATATTTTGCTTTTGTGCTTTCAGGAAAATATTATATGCATCTATGAAGAAAATAAAACAGCACAAATTGAGATGACATTATTCTGAAAAGGTAAAGAGGAGGGGATAAAAACCTAAAATAAGGCTCTAAACCCACATATTTCTGTTTCTTTTAAATCTTACCCACTATACCACCCTATAGAGATACACACACTGTTCATGTAAGCAGATGCTGTCCCTCTTCTAATCTTTAAAATATAAAGCAAGTTTCAAAAACTACTATTTAATCCAAATGGATGGGACCTGAAAGTGTTTCCTTTTAAAGTTATTCCTGCTATTCATTTTCAAAAGTCAAATTATTTTCATGCCAACAAAAATGAGAAACAGCTCTTCTGGATTTGTTTGTCAAAAGATACCAGTTTCAAAATAAATTGCAAAATGTGTCTTAAAGTCCAAATAAACCAGAGGTATAATTTAGATTGAGGGGAGCAAAAGATTCATTTTAAAGCAATCTTTAATCTACAAGTGGGTGGTTACAACGGTTAACATTTCCACACAATAGCATTAAAGTGAATATAGCCTATAATTCTAAAATTAGGAGATCAAATTATTTGGCTACGACAGGACTTATACAAAAACATACAATTTTCAAATATACAGATATCTAACAAGTAAACTAAGCAACATTTGTTTGACTGATTAACAGTTTTATTTCACTTGTTCACAATAACTGTCAGAGAATGAAAAGATGTTACCAAAAGAGAAGTAACTACACTTTTCAGTCACTTACTTTTCTGAAATAAAATTGCCTGGCTATAAACATCCAACTGAAACTACAATCTACTCTCTGGTGTATATAAACAAATCATAGTAAAGATTGGGCATACTGAATTATTACATAAACCTTCTACGGATATAGAACTCAGTGTAAGGAAATACAGAACACACAGCTAGGAATTAACATGATATTAATGCTAAGAAGAACACTATGAGCTATTTTTGTGGTTTCTAAACAAACAGAAACCATGTTTGTGTTTATAATTAGGGGAGTTCGCATTAGCCCCTCAAAGTGAAGTGACATATCAAAAACTTAGTTATCCTTTTAAGCTAAATTCATAGAAAACAAGAGAAAAAAGGTATGACATTAATATTTGTATTTTAACTAAAAAAGAATAGACTATCATTGAGTATACAATGCATATATTTTCCTTTTAAGGGAGCTAAGAAGGTAAGATGTGCCTGGACAGTGTGGCTCAGTGGATTGAGCATTGTCCCATGGACTGAGAGGTCCAGGTACGATTCCCGGTCAGGGCATATGCCCAGGTTGCAGGCTTGATCCCCAGTAGGGGGCGTGCAGAAGGCAGCTAATCAACGTTTCTCTCATACATCAATGTTTCTATCTCTCTCTCTCTCCCTCATTCACTCAAAAATCAATAAAAACATTTTAAAAAATAGAAAAATAAAATGGAATTTAAAAAAAAGTTAATACATCACCTAAGGCAAGAGAAACAAAGGAAAAAATGAACACATGGGACTATATCAAACTAAAAACAACCATCACAATGGAAAGGGAACCCACTATATGGGAGAGCATAATTGCCAATGATACATCAAATAAAGGGTTAATTTCCAAAATATATGGAGTACTCACACAACTCCACAAATGGAAGACAAATAATCCAATTAAAATGGACAGAGGACCTAAAGAGACCTTTCCAAACAGGACATACAAATGGCCAAGAGACATATGAAAAAATGCTCAATGTCACTAATCATCAGAGATTCAAATTAAAACAAGAATAAGGTATCACTTCACACCTATCAGAATGGCTGCCATCAACCAATCATGAAACAACAAGTGCTGGTGAGGGTGTGGAGAAAAGGGGACCCTAGTACACTGCTGGTGAGAATGCAGACTGGTGCAGCCACTATGGAAAACACTATGGTGTTACCTCAAAAAATTAAAAATTGAACTTCCATTTGACCCAGTGATCCCACTTCTAGGAATATACCCTAAGAAGCCTGAAACACCAACCAGAAAGAATATATATACCCCTATGTTCACAGCAGCACTATTTACAATCGCTAAGATCTGGAAACAGCCCAAGTGCCCATCAGTAGACAACTGGATAAAAAAGCTGTGGTGCATATACACAATGGAGTACTATGCAGCTGTAAGAAAGAATGATCTCTTATCCTTTGAGACAACATGGAAGGACCTGGAAAGTATTATCCTAAGCGAAACAAGCCAAGCAGAGAAAGACAACTATCACATGATCTCACTTATTTGTGGCATATAATGAACAAAACAAACTGATGAAGAAAATAGACCCAGAATCATAGAAGTAGGGCACAGACTGACAATCCTCAGAAGTGAGGGGGCGGGGAGGGAAGGGATAAACCACAGAACTTATGTGCACATATCCATAACCAATGGACATAGTCAACAAAGCTGGGGACGGGGGCGGGGGATGGGGAGGAGGATGTCAATGGGTGGGGGGATTGAGAAACATCTGTAACGAAAATAAAAATAAAAAAAGTTAAAAAAAAAGGTTAAGATGTAATCAGTAATAGTCTACTTGCCAACAAGTATAAATAGTTTACTAGTTTGCTGAAAATAACTACAATTTGAATATTTTAAGATCAATAAAATAATCTAGACAATCTCACTATCTGTTTTCTAAAAATTGTTGTCTTCGCACAAACTGCTATGGCTATGTTTATTTTTTTCCAAAAGTTAAAAAAAAAACTATCATTGTAATGCACCAAACTCACTCACCACAGGTTTGTTTCTGGTATGAAAGTCATACTATCCCTTTTAGTATACCGAACTAACACAAATTTGATAAAGTGCTAATGCAAGTATTCACTTCTTAAAATATTCAGTGCAAGCATTCATTTTTTTAAGGTATTTATTTTTTGCTAAGCGTTCAAATCCAAAATACACAAACAAAAAAAATGACTAAAAGCACTGAAAAAATTAACAGGATGAAATCATTAGATAAGTGTAAACTGTATATTAGAACTAGAATAGGGATGTAGCTCTACATTTATAATAAACACTGCATTCTATTTATTTAGTAAATTGGTTAAAATTTTTTACTTAAATAAAACAGAAAAATTTAAAAAGGCAATACATGAAGGAGTTTGGGAATCTTTAAACATTAGAAACTATACATTAACCTTACATTCATCTCAGTCAGATCGGAACTCCTCTAGAATATTTAAATAGTATTGATAATAGTAATTTTGTATTTAGGTTTAACAGTTGCATGGTGAAAGATTCAAGGATGCATAGCCTGAATATGCAGCAATGAAAACTGACTCAGAAAGAATAAAGCTTCTCTGTATGATTGACAAAGAATAGGAGTTTTGCTTATTCTTATTTCATACATTTTATGTTAGTGTCACAAAATTTCTAGTTAAGTCAAGAAATTAAGAGGTTCTATAAATTTCTAAATTGATTCCTTTCTACTGACCAGAACTTAAAACTGTCAATACTAAAATGAAAAAGGAAAAATCTGCTGCGTATTAGTTAAATTATCATAAATCATATTTGAAAATTCACACAAAAACTAAAAGACTTAGATAATTATACCATTTTATTTAGAGAACTTAACATAAATAAAGGAAACAGTAGTATCTGATTTCGGGAGAGTACAATTAAGTCTAAGTGAAAATAGCTAGAATGCAATTGGCAAGCTTTTATCAGAGGGTTCAAGATGGTCATAAAACTTTTCAAATAGTCATGATAGAAAAGTAGGCATGACTTCAGGAAAGTTGACTATTAGAGAGAGGGAAGAAAATCAAGAAACAGGGCTCACATCCTGCCTCCAACCCTGAGATACAGTAGTCTCTCCTTATCCAAGGTTTCTCGTTCAACTGCAATCCACAAATATTAAATGGAAAATTGCACACTGCTCTGGGTAGTGTGATAAAATCTCACACCGTCCTGCTCAGGATATGAAACATCCCTTCGTCCACTGTATCCATGCTGCATATGCTACCAACCCATTAGTCACTTAGTAGCCATCTCTGTTATCAGATAGACTGTCTTGTCTTGTAGTGCTTATGTTCAAGTACCCCTTATTTTACTTAACAATGTCACATTTACATAACTTTTATTACAATATATTGTTATAATTGTTATTAGTATTGTTGTTAATCTCTTACTGTGACTAACTTATAAATTAAACTTTATCATAGATATATATGTATAGGAAAAAAGAGTATATAGGGTTCAGTACTACTGCAGTCTCAGGCATCCACTGGGAGTCTTGGAACTTACTCCCCATGGATAAAGGGAGACTACTGTATTGCTTAATTACTTCAACATACACTATGATTAGGGTGGTTAATGTCCTAATCATTTATTTCAAATAAAAGCAAAAAATACAAATTTATTTACCGAAAATATTTTATGATAATGCTATTGTCAAAGTGTAATTTTTGAAAAAATGTATACCTTTTAGTTTTTATTATTATGAAAAAAAATTATTATTATTTTTTTTTGTTATCCTCACCCAAGAACATTTTTGCATTTATCTTCAGATAGAACGGGAGGGAGAGAGAGAGAAACATCAATGTGAGAGAGACACATCGACTGGTTGCCACCCACACGACCCCAACAGGGGCTGAGGTATATGTCCTTAGCAGGAACCGAACCTGGGACTCTCTGGTCTGTGGGCTGATGCTCTAACCGCTGACCCAAACTGGCCAGGGCTATTAAAATTTTACATGTACAGAAAACTCTCACGAATAGTGCAATATACCCGTCACCTACCTCTAATTAACATTTTGCTAGATTTGCTTCATCTTTGTTCTTTATGGCTTAAGTATTTTAAAATAAATTATAGAAATCTTAATATTTTTTTCATTTCTCAATACTTTATTATAAATTCCCCCAAACTTAAGGACATTTTCCTATAATATCTAATAAAAATGAGAGTAATTCCTTGTTACTCACTCAACACTTAAATTCTTCCAATTGTTCCAAAATGCCTTGTTAATTTAAAAATTAATTAGTATATACAATTAATGTTCCACCTCTATCCTAGAACACTGCTAATTTGTTGGACTTAGATCCCATGTTGCTGTTAGAAAGAAGACCTTAGTACACATGCTTACCTTTGCTTTTTTGCCTTTGGCAGGCATTTGATAGTTCTTTCTGTAAATTAGTTTCCCCAACTAAAGGTGCTGAAGAATTCAGGGAAGGTTCTTCTTCCTCATACCACAACTTAAAAACAAAATTATTCAGTTATACAAAAAGTTATAAATGCAGTGATCTTTTCAGTGTAAAACTGGACAAATTTATGACCTATAGTTAGGCTGACAAGAAAATTCGTTATGCTTACAATTAAAAACAAATTACCTCAGGTACATCAAATGGAACCTCCTGATTATTGTTTTTAAGGATTTCTGCTAATAATCTTAATGTCTTCCCACGAGGAATAATATTTTCTTCTTGCATTTTATTCCAGACAGCATCAGCTCTTTTCCAGTCACCATTTATTTCTATAAAATATAATGAAACAGAAATTAATGAACATACTAAGAAGAATTCATGAAAATAATCAAGACCTTTTTAATTTGATGTTGAAGAAAGCACTATTTCAACTATTGCCTCCAAGGAAAGAAACAGGGTGATTGAAAGAATGCAATTGTATAATTTTCCTCAAAAGTGACTAATAACAAACATTTTTCACTTATTTGAGTAGGGAGAATTCTGTCTCTTCAGTTGAGCTGAAAAATATCTATGACAGTGTGTGATAATTTCTTATCTCAACAGACAATGCTATCAGACTAAGTTATTAAAAGGACAAGAAGTTTACTAGAAGGAAGTCAGCAGACTCCTTCATGTTGAAAAATCTAGTTTTTTCGCTGTGGTAGCTGAGTCTTTTATAAACAGCAAAAACTCAAGAATCGAGACTTTATTTTAAAACATTCTAATGGGTTTTCAAATAAAAAAAGATCAAAATTTTTAATATACTTTTGCCTGTGAAAAACTACAGTAGAATACGAAAAATGTCATGACACATGAAGTTCAAAAAAATACTAAACACAAAGAAATACTGCTTTAGATTATTACTTTGGACAACATGGGCGGAGGACAGGATTGCTGCGCGGCAGATGGTGTCCAGGAGGCTAGCTACTGGGCCATGGACACGTGAGTGGGGGAAGAAACAAGAGTTGGGGAGATGCTACCAGGCCCTGTATATTCGGAGGCTTGGTCTGTCCAAGGTTTTAGGGTAGAGTAGAGCACTGTGGCTGAGGGGTGGGGGAAGAGGGAAAACCAAGTTGCCAGGTTGGACCAGGATGTGGAGTTGAGGGGAGGTATTTTGCAGAAAGTTCTCTAGTCCCTGTTGGAATCTATGCCCTGCCAAGCCACCAGCCTCAGTTTCCCCATCTGTAAATCTGGACACTGCCACTCCCAGGGTCCAGCAAGGGTCCCTATGGCCCTTGTTCCCTCCACCTATATACTTAAAAGGATGTTCTATGGCCATGCACAGGTGTGACCTCTGGGTATAATGGGAGAAAAGTTGCAGGAGGATCCAGGAAAGGTTTGAGAAGTTGGGGGTCTCACAAGCATGGCAGGGGAGGCTGTGTGGCCAAGAAAATGGCTCCTCTGCTTAGCCCTCTGGACATCATCTACCCTGTGAGGTGCCCCGTGTACCCTTGGTACACAGTGATACTCAATAAATACTTGTGGATTAACAAAAAAAGAAAAACTGTTTTTTTGTTTTTTGTTGTTGTTTTTTTCCTCACCCGAGGACATTTTTCCATTTTTTGTTCAGGTAGAGTGGGAGGGAGAGAGAGGAACAGATAGAGAGAGAGAAACATCGATGTGAAAGGAACACACCGAGTGGCTGCCATCATCACGACCTACCAGGGCCGGGGACAAACTGCAACCGAGGTACGTGCCCTTAGCGGGAACCGAACCCGGGTCGCTCAGGACCACAGGCTGACGCTCTAACCGCTGAGCCAAACCGGCCAGGGCAAGAAAAACTGTTTTAAATCTTTCTTTCTTTCTTTTTTTTTTTTAAATCTTTATTGTTGGATGTAAAATGTATTACAGATATTCCACATTTTCCCCCCATTGACCCCCTCCTCCCCACTCCCGCCCCCCTCTCACCTTTTCCCACACTATTGTTTGTGTCCATTGGTTATGCATATAAGTTCTTTGGTTTATTTCTTCCCACCTCCCCAACCCCTTTCCCTTTGAGGTTTGGCAGTCTAGCAATGAATTTGTACTTCTTAATCCCTTCACCTTTTCCATCCATTCCCCCAACCCCCCTCCCAACTGGCAACCAACAAAATGTTCTCTGTATCTATGAGAATGTTTCTGTTCTACCTGTTCATTTTGTTTGTAGATTCCATTGTCGATAGATATGTATTCATTGCCATTTTGTTTGTTCATACATTTTATCTTTTTCTTCAAAAAGACACTTCATCATTTCATATAATAACGGTTTGGTGGTGATGAACTCCTTTAACTTTTTCTTGTCTGGGAAAGTTTTTATATGGCCATCGATTCTAAATGACAGCATTGCAGGATAGAGTAATCTTGGTTGTAGGTTCTTGCTTTTCATCACTCTGAATATTTCTTGCCACTCCCTTCTGGCCTGCAAAGTTTCTTTTGAGAAATCAGCTGACAGCCTAGTGGGAACTCCCTTGTAGGTAACTAGCTGCCTTTCTCTTGCTGCTTTTAAGATTCTCTCTTTGTCTTGAACCTTTTGCATTTTGATGATGATGTGTCTTGGTGTGGGCCTCTTGGGGTTCATCTTGTTTGGGACTCTCTGTGCTTCCTGAACTTGTATGTCTGTTTCCTTCACCAAGTTAGGAAAGTTTTCTGCCATTATTATTGTTTCGAACAGGCTTTCGATTTCTTCTTCTCGCTCTTCTCCTTCTGGCACCCCCAAGATGCGAATGTTGGCACACTTGAAGTTGTCCCAGAGGCTCCTTACACTATCCTCATTTTTTTGGATTCCTTTTTCTTTTTGGTGTTCTGATTGGGCATTTTTTGCTTCCTTACATTCCAAATCGATGGTTTGCTCCTTGGATTTATGTACTCTATTATTGAAGCTGTGTAAATTATCCTTTATTTCAGTTAATGCCTCCTTCAATTCTAACTGTGTATCCATGATTTCTAACTGGTCGTTTTTTATGCTCTTGAGGCCCTCCCTAAGTTCACTGAGGTTCTCACTAAATTCATTGAGCATCCTTATAAGCAGTATTTTGAACTCAGTATCTGTTAGGTTGCTGATCTCCATTTCGCTTAGTTCTTTTCTTGGGGGTTTTGTTCTGTTCTTTCATTTGGGACCTGTTTCTTTGTATCCTCATTTTGGCTGCCTCCCTGTGTTTGTTTCTGTGTATTACTTAATGAGAGGTATGGGCCTCGCTGAGACCAGATGCTGCTTCTTTGAAAGAATTTAGGAAAAACCTGAAGCAGGATCAAAGACAGGCCAATCTATGGTTAAGCAAGTGGCAACAGCTTGGGTGGGCTTGAAAGTTGGGTGGGGCGGGGCCTCAGGGAGTCAGCAGGGCAGGGCTACCAGTGTGAGCCAGGTTGCTGGAGTCCCAGATATGGCGACTGTCTGTCGCCCCCGGGAAGGGCTCACCAAAGGAACAAAGGCCTCTTACAGCACGTTTGTCCCCAAGAAAGCCCCCTCTCCAGCCCTCACTCCAGTGCCAAACAGCTCAGTTCTTCCCTGTATGACTCTGGTGCCCCTCGAGCTGCCTCCCCCCCCAAACTTAGAGGGAGAGAGTCCGATAAGTCCGTGCGCGGGCCCTTTAAGGAGCTGCCTGGGGCTCCAGCCGCCAGCTTCCCTGAGCCTCAGTTCCTGCTGGTTTTTCCAGCCAGAAGTTATGGGGATTCTCTTCCTGGCACTGGAACCCTGAGCGGGGCACCTGGTGTGGGACGAGGACCCCTTAGTCCTCCGGAAGGACCTTCCCAGCCGCGGGAGCCTCCTGATTTTTATCTGCCACACGTGGGTGTGGGACCAGCCTGTCGCCTCCGCCCCTCGTGCCTCCGCCCCTCGTGCCTCCGCCCCTCCTACCATCTGGATGTGGCTGCTGCTTTAATTTCGTAGTGGTAGGACTTCCATTCAGCTTGATTTCAGGAGGTTCTGAATGATGGTTGTTCTGTAGTTTAGTTGTAACTTTGATGTGGTTGTGGGAGGACGCCATACCGCGTTTACCTACGCTGCCATCTTGACCGGATATCGAAATCTTTCTTTTTTTTAAATTCGCAAATATGAAGACAGAGTATCTCAACTGTTACAATTCAGCTCTAAGAAAGGGGGCTTGTTTCAGGGCACAAATGTTCCAGAAAACATATGTAAATGTGTTCCTCAAATATACCCAAATACTAAATAAAACAAATGAAACTTTCCTACATTACCCACCCCTTAAACTGAAAAGCTAAATTTTTGATAACTAATGATTCCTGGAAGTAAAAAACTCAAAGAACAAAAAACATTCACATTTCATCAGAAACCTGCAATAAAGAAAAAGGTAAATCATGAGTTGGAAAATTTCCCCAGGTCATTCATAGAAGCAGCCTAAACTTTCACAAAGAATATACTAAATGGTGACCCAAATAGTAGAAATTAATCTAAAGTTCAGTGATTTTATACATACTTTAATAATAAAATCAGTCTAATTAATATAAAACCCTTACATTTAAAAAATTTCTTTCTTGCCCTGGCCGGTTTGGCTCAGCTGTTAGAGCGTCGGCCTGCGGTCCTGAGAGACCCGGGTTCGGTTCCCGCTAAGGGCATGTACCTCGGTTGCAGTTTGTCCCCGGCCCTGGTCGGTTGTGCGGGTGGCAGCCACTCGATGTGTCCCTTTCACGTCGATGTTTCTCTCTCTCTCTCTGTTCCTCTCTCTCCCTCCCACTCTACCTGAACAAAAAATGGAAAAATGTCCTCGGGTGAGGATAAAAAAAAAAAAGAAAAAAAAAAATTTTTTTTCTTCATTTTAGAGATATATATATAGAGAGAGAGAGAGAAAGAGAGAGACATTGATGAAAGTGAACATCAACTGGCTGCCTCCTGCATGCCCCCCATTGGGGTTTGGGCTAAAACCTTTAAATTTATAATCAAAATAACTATTTATGCTTTTCCTTCATTAAAATGTCCTAATGTAATGCAAAATTCAATTTGTAAAAGTAATTTTTCAAGTATGTGAATGTATAAAACTAATTTTATAAATAAATTTAAAACAGCCTGGCCAGTGAGGCTCAGCGGATTGAGCGACATCCCATGGACTGAGAGGTCCCGGTTCCATTCCCCATTAGGGCACATGCCCGAGTTGCAGGCTTGATCCCCAGTAGGATCAAGTGCAGGAAGCAGCTGATCGATGTTTTCCCTCTTATTGATGTTTCTATTTCTCTTTCTCTTCCTCTCTCTAAAAAATCAATAAAAACATATTTAAAAACAAAACAAAAATCCAAGCCCCAGAAAGTTTCATTCTGAAGAATGAAGGTGGAACACATCTGTTCTCTGCCAAAGGGT